CAAAGAGCATGAATTTAATTCCACCGCTACCAATACGCTCACCCAAACCGCTACTTACTACCATATGAACGAGAACTCACGCTCACCGTCTGTGGACATCAGTGAGTAACAAACCTTTGTCCTCATGACCGTGGAATGAAGAGGGCCAATAGCGCTTCGAAGAGAAGTCGTAACAGCATCGTAGCGAGCTTCGTTCTGGAACCCCGTTTCTACTGCAACGCACATTCGGAAAGGAGATCTTTCGAAAGCCTGTTCCACTCTCTCAGAGAGCCGGTGCATCCATTAATAACGGGATTGAGCGAGTCGAGCATAGTCGATGTCTGGGACCCGATTTCCGAGAGTGTGGATGCCGTGATATAGGACGACGGTATGCAACTGGGGGAGAATCGGTAAAAATGTGTTTTTCCCTTTGTGAGTTTTGGTCAACGGTCAAGAAGGAAATCAGGTAGGAGGAATCCTCCAGCCATCTTTTTCTCGTGATTGTAGAGGATTCATTTGAAGTTTGAATTATGCCCCTGAGAATGCTCAGGACCTGTACTTGTGTTGTAATGCGGAGGAGAGAATAGAGGTCCTCATTGTCCACAGACACTCGAATTAGGCTAAGCTTCGTCAGTCGAGCAAAATGCGGCATGTCGCGCAAAGTGGTGTCAATGAGTGGACTCGCTTCTGGGATGAGTGAAAAATCCCCACTGGTGCGCTCGAATTCGTGATAGGATTCAAGGAAAAACGAATCCAGCACTGGGAAATCGAGGCCACAAAGCATGACGGATGCACTCGCATGAAGATTGGACCGTATTCGAAATTTGGAAAGCTGGGCCAATGGAATGCGCGATCCTGGATGCGGCGATGTCCATGTGGTAGTGTCGGGGAGAATTGGTGGAGGAGGATATTGTTTGGGTAGATAGCTAACGTACACATCACAGAGATTTGTGCACCTAAGAAGGAAATTGCGCCACATCCCGATGGCGTCCAGGCAGGGTAAGTTCATATTCATGAATGTTTTCTTGCTCACTGTGTGGCGCATCCGCAAGTATATTACCCTTACAGGAAAGAAGACCCCGTAAGCCATCCAGGTTCGGCATTGATCTCATACTTCTCTCCCAGGATGCTGCATATTTTCCTCAGAGACGGAATTCTGTACTTTTTCGTCATTTTTCTCATAAACCTCGGCAACGCACTACTTTACTTCGTACGCAGCCCATTTCCATTTCCCTGGCATCTGAACATAGCCGACTGAACTCTTCTTCAGCTAGCCCCGGAATCTCTGAAACCCATCGGAGCACCGCTTAGCTCCATGATGAGCGCTACTATGATTTCGCGCCTCATCCTGAATCTCAGATCGACACCAACGGTTGTTGGCACTGGGCTCTCGTCAGACACATCGTCGAGGCGAAGGGACACGATCCAGGTCAGCGATATTGTCTCTAGGGCCATAAGAAAATGGGGTCAGGACTTCGAGTCTCCGAATGATAGTGCGGGAACTATGGTTGGCAATGATCGACGACCTGGGGCACCGTATCCCTTCCAATAGTCCTTCGTAATTAACGACCTAGTTGGCCATGATAAACTGCCACTGATTTGATGCCCAACGGCAGCGGAAATGCCGACGTGCTTGACAGGGATATGACTGGAAGTGAAGCAAGTAACTGGCGCAATGATTCGAGGCGCGATGTCTACAGACCGCCTTCCTCCCCGACCCGTTCATCGGTGGGTCAATATCTACTGTTATTATAGCTCAATCAGCGCTTTTCAGGACGCGAAATTCTGTCAGAACGTCATTTATTATTAGCGCTCTGTGACATCAGAATCTGAGCCCTACTTTGCAAATTGCACCGGTCGTTGAGTACGAGTCGTAGTCGCCGCCATGTTAATCTTGACGCTTTGGCGTACTCCGAAGATTGCTTATTATCTATTGAGAATTTATCTTTATCGAAGATGTTACGGATGTTCCTTTGAGACGGGTCCATTATTTCCTAGTCATTCCTGCTCAATCCATTGAGTCCTTTCCTCTTCTTCGTACGTTTCCAACTCATAGTTTTGGGGCTGTGACGGGCTCTTGTAGCTTGCTTCCGAGATAATTAAACCAATAACGGCGCCTTTCAGCGCCCTCATGACGACAGGACGATGTCCCGCCTCCTTCTCGGTCTACGTCTACTTCCTCCGCAGGCGTCAGTCGCAATAACGAGGACCGGTGCATCTACCCAATGGCAAATAGCCTTTACCCCATTATGTCGCATAGTATCTGGACTTTGGGACACACCTACGAGCCTGCGAAGTCCCACTTATGGTTCCTTGCCGACTGTAAGACGTCATTTCTCTTGTATCCGGTCCATATACGCCCTCGTTCAATTTGAGTTAAATACAGATACTGTCACAATTTACCTGAAAACGAACTAGCCGTGCTAGAGATTCCGTGTGGAAAGAGTCAAAACCATCCAGCACATCGAGCGGCCAAGTACGGCACGGTTGCTCGGAAGGGCTCCGACCGGAGGTTTCCGGTTCCACGACAAAGCCACAAATGCCTATTTTGACTCTCTTTCATTGCTACCACCATCTTCTCGTGCTAAGTTCGACTCTGAATATCCTATCTAAGGAGCGCATCCGGGGCTCGCAGAATCCGGCTGTAAGTTTCTTAACCCCCCACTGTTTCTCACGAGAAGCGAAGTGGGACTCCTTTTTCCTTCTTCCAGAATCCAGTTAGGATAAGCTACAGACCGAGGCACGCCTACTCTCCTTCGAAAGGGGCGCACAAACTCATTACGGCCCTATATCCGACTCCGCTTCATTAGGAACTCGACTTCGTGGTCAATAGGACAGGAAACCTCCGGCCGAAGCACCGCGAAGGCGGGCTCCATGATCACCGGTATACTCGTTACGAGCTTTGCGCTTCTTTCTTCTCTTGAAAAGACTACTCGACTACTACCTTGAGCTTTGAAAGGCACCTGCATAGCTCCGGTTGATCTCCTCCGGGACGATCATCACTTTGTGGAGGCAGGGGTAAACGACGAGCATTTTCGCCCGAGGCCAACAGTTCTTCGCCATCCCAACCAGGCTTGCAGTCAGTCACTGGGGACGGGAATTCTCGCTTCCAGTATCAGAAGGCGCCCCACCCCACGGTTTACATCTCTTGATCACAGCATGGGCTCAAATTATTTTCCTTCTCGTGGACGACAACTAGTTCCTGGTCTAAGGGAAGAGCATCACGCTTATTACACATTCTCTACAATTTTCTCCCATTCTGATCCAGCAAGTGCGGGCAATTACTCTCATCGAAAGAATGGTAGGAGAAACGTTTCGGGAGCGGCAAATGACCTCACGTTTGGCTTGTATCGCGGGCTTCTCTACTCAATTGTTGCTACGTTCTTCCACGATTGCCTCGGGCAATTTCACCCGGCCAACCCAGGCGCTCGAGCGAGGCACTAGAACTGGACAATTTCTGATAACCCCGGGGCTTCCGTTCCCCTCCACGACGCTCTCAGGCACATCTATCCACCCAACTGTTAAACGTCTATCGGTTGCATCCCTCTGTTGACTCCCTGATATATTACTTTCTGGACTCCGCGGCCATCGTGAAATTCTCGTTTCCAGTTACTCCTGTTTGGAATAATATTCGTATGACATCCTCCTGTCTGGACTTGCTTGAGTGGTGTCGACGCCTCCAACTCTCGTCAACGAAGTAATGGCGCTAGTCCTTCTGTAGCTGGCCTCCACGTCGCACGAGCAAACAGGCCTAGAACTCCAGGACCCGGTCTCTTCTGCGCCATTCTTCTGTACCTCCAGTTCTGGATGCCTTACGGTCGCTTCGGTTCCCACACCCTTATGGCATCATCCCCAAACTGCTGAGAGTCGACTGAAATTCCACGGCGGCGAACCTTTAAGTAATTCTTTCAAAGCCGATTATATTGAATTTTTGCTCCTCGGTCTAGTTATTCCGACCGGCCAAACCGGAAGCCATCTCGATACTGGTACCTTGAGGGACATTGCTTGCGTCTCCTCCGTCCAATATTACTCCGGAGGACCTTTAGTGCGTCAGCCACTGATTGTTCCTGCAGCTTCTCTGACGAAGAGAGCTTCTCATTCAACGATAGGAACGTTGGAAACCCATGACCGGATAGACCAGCTTCTAATCCATGGGCATACTGGTATCACTCCTCGAAGTACTCCTGGATCGACAAAATGGATGCTATCTATTGGCCAGCCCTCGAATGGACTTGGTCATGCAGCGAACTGGGACATGAGCTCGGTTCGACTGCATATCTAAACCGCCATATGGAACACGTCTTGGCGCATGGGATTATAGACTTTTAATGCGCCTGTGACCAACATCGCCTGGTTTTCTCCATCTCTTGCGACAACGAAATTGATCCGTCGGGCTCATTGCTGAAGCATAATCTATGAAACCTTCAGGTTATTGGGGCGGAACGACACCTGGTTTGGACGACATTCGAGCCAGAACTTCGATTGTTCGAGCTTGGTCTCCGAGTTCCGTATCGCCACTTCCCAGAATAGCACATCGGTCACGTTTCTTCACTCTGTGTGAGACTCTGACGACTATTTGCAGGATTGCTGGCAAAAAAGGGACTTTCAGTGGACGAGATATTCCATGATCACCGCCGATTTACCGACTCAGAGGTTGCTGATGCTCCGGCCAACTTTCCTTGTCGGGGACCACTGAGTTGAAACCGGGTGTTCTTATCTGCGCGATCTCATCATGTATCGGGGAACCGCTATCCGACAGAGCCTGCATGCTCCGTCTGCGAACGGGCGGATATCGATGTTCTAGCAACAAGCTTTCTGGTGTTTGGTCCACAGTGGTTTGCCAGACGACGGACTCTGCCTCTGTTATGACGTCTCAGAACCCGTCATAAATTGCCCCTACCTCTCAAATACAGAGGAAGCGTGACAAGAGGGATACGGACGTTGTAGGTGATAGTCATTTACTTCGTAAATGGAGGTCATCAAGGCATTTCCGTACGCCTGATTCGAATCGTGGTATCCCGATGGGGATATCGCCAGGTCTTCCCCATCCTTCGCCTCTTTTCCCAAGCCCGACACGCATATGCTTCTTGCTGTCAGGTACGCCAACTTCCGGACTGTAGCCTGTGATAGGCACTCCTATAGCTCGCCCATCAGTATATAAAATGCAACCGGGATTTTTGCTGGCTACATCCTTTCGACCCCAGAAAGCATCATGCGTCCTTCCACTCTCGTATCCCTCGTTGCATTCACGTTCGTTACCTCTACTCATGCGTCACCAGTGAGTTGGATGCCTTCTCATCTCTCTACGCAGTGGCTCACCTCTTACTTATTTTCGTAGATATCTGCGGAGCTCTTGAACTCTCGTGATCAAGGCGTAGTCGTAGCTCGTGGCAATGACGTGAGTTCCAACTTACGCCTCAACATTGTTCGGGAGAGCTAATCAGTCGACGCCGTTGTGTAGGATGCCCCACCGGCCTGGAAGCGAGGCGAGGATAGTCCTCCACCATGGAAGCGGGCAGAGGCTGTCCCACCGGCTTGGAGGCGGGGAGAAGAGGTTCCTCCAGCGTGGAGGCGTGAAACTACTGGCGGTGTTGGAACGGTTGACTGGAGGCGTGACACCCCGGCACCTGGTCCACCGGATTGGAGGCGTACCGACGATTCCGAAGAGCTTCCTCCCCCGCCCTGGAAGCGTACCGACGACGCTCCCGTTCCACCTCCATGGAAGCGAAGTGAGGACGACTCTCCAGTTCCTCCTCCGTGGAAGCGTACGGAAGACACTCCAGTCCCTCCACCATGGAAACGCACCGACGACGCACCAGCTCCTCCACCTTGGAAACGTGTCGACAATGCCCCCGCCCCTCCTCCGTGGTAGTTCTGCGTAACGCGTGCTGCCTTTCGGTCCTTCAGCAAAACGCAACATTTTCCTTTCCGTTGCGGGACAAAGGCTCTTAACGAGCTACTGCTTCCCATGCTTCCTCGTCCTCCCCTCCCCCCTTTTCCTTTCTCTTCGAGCCCAGGCGTTTCTTCTTTTGTACCAAATACCACAACCAGTACTATTTCTTCTCTCCGGTACGGTACATTGCTGGTGTCTTCGCCATTTAAATTCTTCATTATCAATGGAGGTGTATTACCGCTTGCTCTTCGAGTAGCACTGTCTTCAAGTTACGGTCCATTAATTCGGATTCTTGTTTTCTTGTTTTCAGTTTTGCTTCACATAACTTTTCGTCTTGGATTCGACTCAGTCTGCTCCGATGAAATCTCTCTTGGGTGCTCGCGGTGGCAGCACGGGAGATATCCCCCTGGATCCATTTCGTTGACACACGTTTGATAAAAGTTTTCTGGTTGACAGTGAACGTACTGCAATGTAGACTTTTTCTTGTACATAAGCGTTTATCATTCGGCGCCTGCTTATCGACAGCCTTATTCTGTCTTGTCAGGCAATATTCAATCATCGCTGCTAGCCACTGCTTAACGGTACCGGGGCCCCGCGATGCTCAGGGCGTAGAGAAGCAAGGATTCGACGCTGCGATCGCCCACCTAATCTTAATCGTTCGAAGTCCCATGTGCTACGTATCAGACCTCTAAACCCATCGGCCAATGCAAGCCAAGTCGTTGTGAAAATCAGTAGATCTTTTGTTCCCCATGACGAAGACAGCTGTTCAAGTGATGCAATTTTTCTTCCTCTAGCGGATGATGTCTTCCTAATGGGCTTTCGGCGACCTTACCACTCCCTCACCAAGGGATTTGGTTCGATTGTTATCATTCAGAAGGATATCATGGACGAGCTTATTCCGAACCGAGTGTGAACTTGGGTTGAGGTCATGGTGCGCGTTTGAAGTCTGAACATCAGCAAGCAGGAATCAGCTTTGCCTCATTAACCCCTTCTCCCCCATACATCCGAGCGGGTTACGCAGAGATTGTAAGCGTTTTTCAACATCATGGATTGACACGCTGAAGGTTGGAATCGATCGGTTTCCTTCTTCAAGTTGACGGTGCAAGCGACGCTCGTGGTGTCGAGGAGATGAAGAGACATGACAGGGGATCCTGTCATTTTTTGCCTCAATACAAGGTCATATGTCGGATTTTCCGTCGTGATAACCTCGGTTTAAAGGACATGTACGTTTGACAGCGTCATACGTGGAGCTCAAGCTTATAATAAATGCCTTCAGGAACAGTTGGATCGAAATAGACGACGCCGGCCCGGTCGAGCGAAGTTGGGCGTCGAAAAACATTATTGATTAGTGGACAGTCCTATAGTTACAACGACAGCAAAATAAATATCGATATCCTCATAGATCGCACAAGAAAAATATCAAACCGCTCTTCCAGTTTCCCCACTGCCGCTCGAGCTCCTCCGCCTCGTCCTCGTCTGGAGCCCTGTACCTCGTCCATCCACCTCATCCATGGATTTTTCCGCGATTCCGAACGCCTCCACATCCAGGCCGCTCTTGCTCTCGTCGGCCACACCGAGTCCTGAGCCTAGTTTCGTACCACTCGAGCCAGTGACGTAGCTGACTTGCTGGTCGCCCGTCTTGATCGGGTCCGCGCGAGTCGCTGCTTGGAACGTCGAGAGGTTGACGGGCCCACCGTGTTTCCCGACGTGGGTTGAGGAATGGTGGTTCCGTCCGTGTCCATTGGGCTGTCGCCTACTCCAAGGAGACCCAGAAGGACCATCGTACGCAAGACCGAGGCCAACACGGACAACGATGACCATAGGGACCATTGCCTGATTGAAGGCGTCAGCAACGAGAACGGGGCTCGAAGGAAAATACAAGCTTACACTGAGCTGACTGAGCATAAATTCCATAATCACACCCGCGTTCATATGCAACAGATACGTGACCAGCTGTACGATTGCGGCGCTGGTGTATATCAACCCACTTTCGACCACGAGCCACACCATGCCCAGGTACTTCGCACGCTGGCCGCGATCTACCTCGCCTCCAACGAGGTACCCAGCGGGTGTAGCATTCGGATCGTTGGACGGTGGCGCGAGAGTGACGGAGTAGGGACGCGAGGCGGCGTAGATGCGGGATGCGATTAGCACGGTGGCGATGATTTGCGTGGCGATGGTGAGCACAAAAGTTGACGTGACCCAGGATAGGATAGAAGGATCGAAGACGGAAGAGTGGGACGCGATGGCATTAGCGGCAATTGTCTTGAAACCACACACTGCAAAAGGTATAAGACTTTCATGGGCGGCGAAGAGAAGAGAAGCGTGCCGTACCGATTGTACCGAGGAGGAGCAGAACCTAAAGTGGGGTAGGATGTCAACTCGGACGTCCATTTCAAATTCGTGGATGGAACCTAGACTTACAGAAGGACCAACGACAAACCAATTTCGTCCATAGATAACGAAAACACGCCAAATCTGTATAGATTATAAGTTTCTTGAAATACCTGGAATGAAAGGAAGCTCGACGAACTAGTAATGAATCACCTAACAAGGTCTAAAAACAAAACGCGGTCAGCAGTCGCAAACACACATATGGAGCCTTCCTTACATTGACGATGTAAAGAGCCTTCCTATTCGGAAATACATTTTCACGATAAAACACAGGTGGGCCACCAGGCGTCGAATCTCGTTCGTAGATAAAGCCTTGAAAGAGTTCTTGAAGCGCTAGACTGACGTGTGCCGTCGAGAGGGCGAACATGACCGTGCTATATGTAAGCAGAATCCTATTTTCAAAGCAAAGTATTAGTCCAAAGCAGCGACGGAGGAAAGAGAGAAATATAAATACCGTGAAGACGTTTCACGGCCTCGAGTATATGCCTTTGAGGTGAAAATGTAGCACAAGGTGAAGTAAACGACGATGCTAATGATAATCTCGCGTCAACAACCCGGTGTTAAGTCTGGGCTCTGACGACGCACTGGATGCCTGCAACCAAAATCAACTTCTGATTCGGGGAGATGCACGTCGATTCTTACCATATAACACTCCCTCAGTCCAAACCCCTCCAATGTACGCAACGTCTGCTGAGATATCCTTTGCCATCCTCAGCCCCTGCTCGCTAGTCGTTGATGGTGGGGATCAAGTGTAGACCGTTGGCAGTCTCGGATGCAGTCCAGTGTTAGCGGAAAATGTCGCTGGAGGTCCCAAGCTTGTCAAGGTGCTGGAGGCAGGATCCAGGAGGATGAAGGCGCGCCAACAAATGGTCGCCAGCGAGATGTTGTCTTCTTAAGCTGTCCGAGAAGGACTGAACACCTGTAAGCCAATTCATCTATTTCAGTACCGGCCGTCTGCAATCAACACATGGGAACGACGAATAGGAAGCCAAGTAACGTATATGGACGATCGAAGGGAGCATAACTTTACCTGCACAGCTCTTCCTTGCCTTGTTCGGGCAGTTCATGCGCAAGGGTGAGAGGAAAGGGCCCTCCTTGGGCTCCTATAGCTGACGGGGAGCGCTGATGGATGGATCGATGGCAGAAGGTCGTCGTTGGCAGTGGAAAGAGATGGGAATGATCCTCCACCTCGCTCCAAGTTCAAAACTGTCCGTGGGACCGCGAAACGGCGCTAGGCCTGTGGATCGCAGCAAACGGACCGTCATGATTCGTAGGCAGCGTGTGCGCGGCGTGTCCATATTCGGGTCGGCATGAGAGAGGCTCCACTGCCCCGGGTGGAGATATGGGAACTGGACAACTCGTGGTGGTCAGGATTTGAGTATTTTTGGAGAAGCTGATTGGACTCGCTTGATCGGATGGTAGGAGCGGTATTCTTGATCATCATGAAGGGGATGGGGAATGAGAATCCAGTACTGTTGAAAGGACGTGTGAGGAGATTTCTACAAGAGTGCGGAGTTGACATGAGATCGTGAATTCGGGCGATAAGAGTAAAGGGAAAGTCGAGGGAACTTGGGGGCGTCCCTCGAATTGAAGAGGAAACTTCATGTCTCCTGACCCCTGGGTAACATCGAGCGCCAAGAAACGAGGGCGGTAGAAGTGTGAAGATCTTCAGAACTCTGTAAACCCTTGAAACCGATTGACCAGTGCAATAAAGGGCGCTATTCTTGTCGTCGTCGTGCCTTGACGAAGCGATGCTGATGTCAGGAAAATCCAGGGGTCAACAGACCCAAATGCGAAACAAAAATAGAGACAAACTTACCTTCCTTTTCCTCCACCACACAACTCGACGGCATCATACATAATCCTGTGTTTCCGTCTGCGCTGGACCGACAGCGCGAGCTAGTGGGAAATGGGCGAAAGAGTCCCGCATGAAGTGTTGTTTCAAATGCTCAGTGACTAAGTTCGAAGTCTCTCTGACAGCCATCGATGGCGGCCTGAGGTGCTCCACGCTGAAAATAGTCCAAACAAGAGAGTGCTGACCTATATCCAGCTTCATCAAGGAAGTCGGTCAGCAAAGACACACCATCAGTACTCAGTACCCACCTTGATCGTCTTCACTGTGAGTCTATTACCTTCGACGGCAAACACACACTTTGTTTTTCTCATTCCCCCGACCTGCGCCAGAAACATCTCCGCTCATCACCATCCAAAACGCCAGACACTCACCGCTGATCCAACCGGTAAAATATCATGTCCATCGACCTCAGCCTTGATAGATTGGAGCGCCTCGTGTCGCACCTCCCACCCTACACCAGGCCAACACTGCACATCGCGGGCACCAATGGCAAAGGCAGTGTCTCCGCACTCCTCACATCGATCCTCCGCGCCTCCGCGCCGCCCCTCCGTGTTGGGAGGTACAACAGCCCGCATCTCGTGTCGATCTACGATTGCATCACCTTGGACGATGTGCCCGTTTCTCCTGAGGTGTACGCGTCTGCGCGTGCCGAAATTGAGGAGGCCGATGCCAAGCACGGAACGAAGCTGAGCAGCTTTGAGCTGTTGACGCTCGCAGCATTGAGGGTGTTTGAGAAGGAACGCGTGGATGTGGTAGTGTTGGAAGTGGGTATGGGAGGACGGCTCGATGCGACGAACATCGTTCCAGACAACGCGATCGCCGTATCCGCGTTAGCAGCGGTGGATCTCGACCACCAGTTCTTTCTTGGCGAGACCGTGGAGCTTATCGCAAGAGAGAAAGCTGGGATCGGACGTGCTGGACGGCCATTCGTTCTAGGCAAACAACGGCATTCAAGCGTCGAAGGAGAGGTGAAGAACGTGCTTGATACTTTTAATGCCGCATTGGTCCGTGCGCTAGACGTGAAGAAGGTGGATTGGGACGAGCAACGTGACGGACCAAAGACATCTCCTTTTTCGCTATCCTTCGAGGCGGCGACTGCGACGGCATTTGGAAAACCAGCGCCACAACCTGTCGTTGTCGATCTTCCGTGTTTCTCCTCCCCAGTGCGAGCCTTACTCCCGCTCTATGGCGCACATCAACTTGACAATCTCGGCACCGCACTCACCGTAATCAACTCCCTCCTCACGCTCTCTCCGCTGTCAAACGACGCTTCGTTGAACTTCAAGAAGCGAATTACCGCAGGAACTGTTGCAGAGGGCGTCAAGAAAGTCAGCTGGCCAGGCCGACTGTCCTTCCATACCCTGCAGGTTTCGATTCCTTCGCCTCCAGCGTCGACATCTGCACCAATCCTTCCTTCTAACTTGAAGCAGAAGAAATATCGTCTCGTCGTCCTCGCTGATGGGGCACATAATCCAGCATCGGCAGAGACTCTCGGCGCATATGTCACTCACCTGCTCGATCTAGCTCTCGCCTCCTCTCCAACGTCGATCAGGACGGTCAACCTTACCTATATCCTCAGCCTCTCACACTCACCGCCGAAGACGCCCCTGCAAACCCTCTCGCCCATCCTTCCTCCGAAAATACCATCAAGTCTCGCTTCTTCAAACATGGGCGTCAACATATCCGTTGCCGTCCTACGATTCAGCCCACCCGAGGGCATGCCTTGGGTTAAGTCCGTCCCGCCTGCCGACCTACACACCGTCGTCAGCCACCTCGTGCCTAACGCGAACATCTGGGTAGCCGACGACGATGCATACCCACCTCCTACGGCATCCAACGGCAAGAACCTTGCACTGGAGGACGCGTTGAAGTGGGCTGCAAAGAACCAGGATCGTGCACAGAAAGAGGCTGGTGACGGGACAAAATGTGGCAACCTGGTCGTCCTTGCTGGGAGCTTGTATCTCGTCGCGGATTTCTATCGCCTGCTTGAAGCTGAGAAGAAGCAAGAACAGGTGTAGGTTGCAGGTGGAAGAGCGAGCGGGGTCGATGCTGGTGCGGTGACGGCGGTTTGAAGTTTGTTAGCCTGGAGAGGTGAATATATGCGTGTTTTCTTGTCCCCTTCATGAATTCTGTGGTTTGCCTTTGATATATAGCATATTCAATGCAGCGTTACTCAAAGCCAAGACCTGTTGTACCTGTTTTGAGGTTGTTCTAGGACCCTCGTCCAACCTTTCCTTATTCTGGAACTCCTTGGTGAATTTCCTCTCGAGCCACTGGTGCGATGTCGTCCTTGACCGACTGTGAGATGCTCGCGCTAGACAAGCGTAACAATATCAAAGCTTTGGCCATTGGTTGGAGCATAAGATACTTGCATACCTTAGCTCTTGAGGTAGATATTTACCCGCCGATTGTTTCCACTCGTTGTTCTGGTTGAAGCATGTCAGAAGTCAGAAGGAGGTCGCTTATCTTATCTTTTCTCCCCTTCCACATGACATGATCCGATCAATTTCCCGGGCCGGCGGAATTCAAAGCTGGGAGAAACATGGGGGAAACGGCCTTTGGATCTTGAGCTTGACTCCCTATCTTGCGTGTTATTTCTTCTCAAACACCGCCTCCTTGAAGATTTTTTCCCTAGGACGGAAATCACATCCATACGAACCTAGTTTGCAGTGACAAGATCTCATATACGTATCTCAGTCTATCTGCTCGGAATACAGCAGCTGCAGCCCGTCTGGTCGTGTAATCAAGGTCACCTCGTGCCCGACAATGTCGGGAAATTTTGCTCGCCAGCGCTGAGAATGGGCATCCTATTCCTTGAGATGCACATCCGTGTGGCAGTCACCTACTTGTGTCTTGTGTTGATAGATCCTAGATTGGCTTGAGCCTACCTGAAAGACGTAGAGGGGCCAATCAGTCATTCCATTCAACCTCTGCGTGACTAAGAAATAAGAGTTCTGGTCTTCTGGCAGGAAATATCGTGGCAGCGGCGCTGGCCGTGAGAGGCTCATCTGAAACCCAGCGATCGAAAGACCTTACGGACCATTTTTATAACTTCACATTATGTGTAGAAAGGCTGTGGCGAATAAGCTGGGAGCTTTTATTGGAAGTTTAATCAGAGATCAAAGCATCAGTCGTGGCAACGGGAAAGGTGGTGGGTCCCTCCGCTGACGGTGGGCATGAACGAGGCATCCATACCATACGGGCAACGGCTTGTTACTTACTCGTCCGATCCACTCTTAGTTGACGATCATCGCCTTGGGAAGCGACCATTCTATTTATGGCATGTTTTCCCAGTGGCGTCGCCTCGCGGCAGGCCAAATCAGGCGCTGCGCATAAGCGCTTAGCCTTGGCGGTGCCCGCTGCTGCCCGCCATGTACCCGCCAACAGAGAAGGGCTCTCGAAACACCGGCATACGCTCAGTGAGATGGATAAGGGTTATTCTTACAATTCTACGAAGCCTTTGTCACCCGAACTCCTTGTGCTTGGCATTGATTAGTGCTTCTCGCGAGCAGGTCCAAGGAAACTTGGCCATTATCTTACCTAGACGTGAGACAATACCATCATCGCAGATCATCATATTCTTACATGCATTCACACAACTTCGAAGCATGTTTTCGAAATGAGCGCCAGACCCTCCTTCGTTTTACATCCACGGACCAATGGCTCTGACATGCACAGGATCCAAGATATACATCAGTGGCTTGAGAGTTCAAAGACTAAAAATTAAAATTTCTGTCTTATTATCAGAATCATGCCTCGTCTAACACAATTTTATCTTCTTTTCTCCCCACTGGAGCCAAGATACCCGACAAATTGTGCCAGGTGAAGGCTGAACCGAAGTAGAAGAAAAACTAGTGAAACTTATATGCTTCAGGTGAAAGCCAACGAGGAATTTTGCCATAATGCCCCACACCTTTACCCCCGCATTCATTACACACCACAGTCGCCTTGAATCAAAGCCGCCAGTAGCACCACAAACACGCCCAGTCCAGGCGACTAGACACACCCAATATTTCCCCTCCTCCTCGCGGCTGCAATGAAGATGGTGGTCTAGATAAGGTCACTCCCGCCTCTTGAATTTTCAGTCTTCAAATCCATCCCACTCATCCTTCGCTTTCATACAGGTTCCCTGGTGGACTCGTCTTCGTCTGCACCCTCTTTCGGTCTCTTCCCGTAAATTAAGATGTCTCTCCTTGGACAGAACATTTCCAACGTGCACAGTATGAAATTTCCCTTTAAAAAAATAATTTACTCTCCGCCAGCGCTGAACAATTGCTCTAGATGCCCATATTTCCACTGTCAATTCACATAACACCACCGTGATCAGTTTCGAGAATGTAGTCATTCATGTCCACGTTGAGCGTGGATCAGCCAGTCAATGAGGTATCTAACCTAATTTTTCATGCTTTCATAACTTCGAATTCTAATTCCTGTTCCAAGGCTCACGCGCCAAGTCCGAGGCCAAGGGTCCTAAGCTTAACCACAGGAGGTCGGCGAACGAGATTGAAATAGACATCCACATTCCTACTAGTAGGTTTCTCCGTCGAAGTGGAAGCTTGATTTATGAGCTAAAATCCCGTCAGAAACTTTCGGTGGCATGTTGGGCATACGCGGCGATTCTCGACCACCGCGTACGCAAAAGGGAAGGCCAATTCGACGGAGGGTTCCCGGTGCATCCTTCCGTTCGGTCAAGTCATGCGGCACGAAGAGGTCGTAAAAACAAAATGCTTGCCGGCTGCGCAGGCAAGCGAGAAATGAAACCGAACGAGTCCCTGAATGCACTAGAACTAATTATATTATTTATCTGTCTCAAGTCTCCACCAGTCCAAGGTTCTTATATTTGCTTTCCTCGGCGCGTCTTGACAAAGTGCCCCTCCTGTGCCGCACATTTGCCGCACATACCGTAGCCTATGTGCATGTACAATTTATGCGCATTCTGTGCTACCTATGAACCTCCTTTGAACTGGCATGTATTCACTTCCCACTGCACGAAATATTGAACTATAGTAACAAGAGGCCAGAAGTTCTCAGTGTATTTACCTAAAAGATTACTCAACGTCGGAATATTCGAAACCGAAAGTCTCCAATGGTATACCGCACATTTCCGTTCAATTCAAGCGGCGTCGCGAGTTCGTCTTATATAAGCAAGATCCAGTACCGCAACCGTCACGTGGTCTGCGAGCGAATCCCAAATTGAAAAAGACTGGAAAACAAAATTCTTATCGATCTTGCTAAAGTCCGTGTAAGCCTTCAATCTGGCTATTTATTCTCGTATCCGATATTTCCCAGCTTTTCGTACCGCCCACACACTCTGCTACGCCTCAAGAACGAGCCTACGCGGGATACCAACGCCTTTCAATTGGATTCATAGAATGGCTTCAACATCGATGCCCGAATTACCTGTTGTACCGGATACGGACCCATCCAAGGCGGTTCTCGACTCATTTCGAATCTCTATTGCGAAGAGGCTCTCAGACGCCCTACCAATACCGCTGGAACAAGCGTTGACGGGGGTGGACTACGGAAAGAAGGGGGAGGACTTCACTGTCGCCTTGCCGAGGTTTAGGCTACCTGGAAAGGTCGACGAGATTGCTGCAAAGGTCATCGAGAAAGTACGTGCTAGACTATTTTCCTCCGACGTGGCTAACACTATCCACCAGTTCCAACCCGACGAATGGGTCGAAGCGGTCGTACATGATAAGGCCTTCCTCCACTTTCGGATCAATACGACCAATATGTTCCGCCTGGTGCTCGACCAAGTGCATGCTCTGACTCACTCGAGTTCTTCTGGGAAGCCGGAATATGGCACGAACGAGTCAGGGAAGGGGAAGAAAGTCATCATAGAATACTCGTCCCCTAACATCGCGAAGTCGTTCCACGTCGGCCACTTGCGGAGTACGATTATTGGCGCATTCCTGGTCAACTTGTACAAGGCATGCGGATGGGAGGTCATTTCGATGAACTATCTCGGAGACTGGGGCACCCAGGTAAATCCCAAGCACATTCAAAATAATCCATTGCTAACGGGCTGCAGTTCGGTTTAATTGCTACTGGATACGAAAAGTATGGCTCACAAGAGGAGCTCGAAAAAGACGCGATCAAACATCTCTTCGACGTGTACGTTCAAGTAAACAAGGACGCCGACGCCGACCCCAACGTCAAGGTCGAAGCTGCCCAGTGGTTCAAGCGCATGGAGGACGGAGACGAGTCTGCGCTCAAGAATTGGCGAATTTGGCGGGAGATGAGCGTAAAGAAGTACGAGGACGAGTATGACAGACTGAACGTCAAGTTCGACGTGTACACTGGCGAGAGCGCTGTCGGAAAGGAGTCGATGGACAACGCGCTCAAGCAGCTCGAAGACATGGGTCTAATCTGCGAGTCGAATGGTGCCAAGTTGGTTGATCTCGAGAAGTACAAGCTCGGAAAGGCTGTCGTTCGGAAGAAGGGTGTGTTTCTTTTGCTCCGTCTTCATCTATTTTCATGACTGTACCCAGATGGAACGTCGATCTACCTCACCCGTGACATCGGCGGGGCCATCGAGCGGTACGAGAAGTACAAGTTCGACAAGATGATCTACGTCGTGGCCTCACAGCAGGATCTACACCTGGCACAGTTCTTCAAGGTGCTCGAGCTGATGGGCTTCCCGTGGGCGAAGAACCTGCTGCACATCAACTATGGTCTTGTCCAGGGCATGAGTACGCGAAAGGGCACTGTGGTGTTCCTCGACCAGATCATCAAGGAGGCGGGCAACGTCATGCACGAGCAGATGCAGAAGAACGAAGACAAGTACGCCGCTGTTGAAGATCCTGAAACGACGAGCTTGGAGATCGGCATCACAGGCGTGAAGATCCAGGACATGGCTGCAAAACGGTCGGTGTCCATATAATTCTACTTTCTCTTTCGACTGAAATCTTCTTAGGATCAACAACTATACGTTCAACTGGGATCGAATGAAGTCCTTTGAGGGCGACACCGGCCCTTACCTGCAGTACGCGCACGTCCGACTGGCCTCGATCGGGCGGAAGAATCCACATCTGAACCCGCTTCCTGCGCCGTCCGCGATCGACACCTCGACTCTCGCGCAGTACTCGCACGCTCGGGATATTGCGTTCCTTTTGGGTACGTACCCTGATGTCGTCAAGGTGGCGCTGAAGACACACGAGCCCAGCGGGATTGTCACCTTCGCGTTCCGGCTGGCACACGCGATCTCGAGCGCCTGGGACAGCGTCATCGTCAAGGGCGAGGAGGACATCGAGAAGGCCCGTGCGAAGATGTACCTGTACGAGTGCGCTAGGGAGGTGCTTGGTGCTGCGATGAGGTTGTTGAGCATTCGACCGCTAGAGAGGATGTAATAGAGGATGTCTCCTGTTCGCTGTATTTATTTCAAGGTTGGGTGCTTGTGTACGATATGATAGTACAGCAAGCGAGTGCAGCAAGAGAGTTGATCGTCGAATCGAACCTCCAGCTTCAGCGCTTGCCCTGTGCTACTTCGAGGAATTAAATTTGGCCTCCGAGCTAGGAGTGTCTGAATCCGGTTTATGAGGGGATTCAGAGAATACTCGACGAAAAGCCAATACTTCGTGCATTTAAATAATTTATTTAGTCCGACGCCAATGACAACGCAGTCGTCCATTCAGCCACGCGATGAACGTTTAGACAGGTCAGTGACATTGCCGCACACACTGCTGTTGGCTTCCGTGACGGTGAGCGCCATCGTCCTCGGCGCTTAGACTAACGAGCATTTGGTGATTTAAGCGGATGGAATGAGCGGTCTCTGCCTCGTTACTTTCGGGAGGCGAACTTTCAAGGATGACGATATAGATACTCAAGAGAAGAATGTAGCCTACTTTACGAAGACGCTGTTCTCTTCAATTAGTTACACAGCGCTTGAGATGGCCAAACTTAGATGACTGATTTTCGTTATGGTATTTTGACACGCGTGAGCAACTACTATTTACATGGTCATCTCAAAAAACGTTATTTGCATGCTGCCGGCAGTATTGAACTATGTGACGGCGGAGTAATGAATATCTAGTACTACGCGCCTCTCAGGAGGAATATATCTGGTTAATGTTCACAGATAAGTATATGTATAAACACCAAGAAGACGGATCTATTCAGCATAAGGTCAATCGTCGTCCCGAGAAGGACCAAGATCCCCTCCCAGATTTCCCAATACGAAAAAGGCTTTATCATCCCGGAAGTTAGGAATCCTCACGCCAGGACGGTAGTGTATGAGCGTACGCGTCGCGTGCGTGTTCTGGTCAGGAAGAGAATGAACCGGCACCCCTTTGAGGTTCAGAATCAAGCGAGATATCATGACGGAGGTAATTAGTTGAAGGAATGACGCTCCAATGGCTTTCAAATCTTCTTCAACTTGCTGCCTCAAAAGAATGAATCTTGTTCAAAATCACAATACGAGGACACTCACGAAATATATGATGGTGTTCATCAAATTCGTTAGAAAGATGACGAAGAAGTACATAACGCCATCGCGAACGAGGACAGTTATGATCCTAACACATGATGACATCAGACTGGGTCAATTAGAGACTGGAGACGCGAAAATGGATCGCCGTATTCACCGACTTCTTCCTGATTTATTCAAGTACCGTCGCGTGCGCCATAAGGTGAGGAAGAAAATACATGAATCTGTCGCGAGTGGTGCCACCCAGAGCGCCGCTTTAAAATGAAAGGGTGTGAGTACGCGAGCTCATGAACGATGAAGCGGCGCGGACTTACGGAAGACAGAAGTCGATCCTGTGAGGATGCAACCTGGTTGCGCTGAGCTTCTGAATACTTTAATTTAAGCTCATGGGGTTCAGGCTTACCTACGAGCGGAGCAGGCAACGGCACCGCTGGAGATCTGTATCAGCTCAGGAATTTAAGGCGAATGTTCGGAAAATGACTTACGGAATCCTAAGTTAATGCCCACAGCTGAGATTGAAACTTGGGCAGCCAGAAGCGTTAGCAGGAATGCCAGGATCCAAATTGCGCGCTCGTAGATGGCGTAGACCCGAAGAATCATCACCACTGTCCGAAGTTGCAGACTAAGTACCAAGCGCCCTTACTGCAACAAACGATGCAACGCACGCTGGCAGACTTCAAGTTGAGAATGTTAATCCGCGTGAAAGCGGTGGAGGAAATCGAGCGACTTACTGGCCACCAATATGATTGTACCTGCACCTTCAAACTTCACGAACCGACGGCATCTGCTCACTCGTCAGCCAGAAAGAGCTGCAAGATGAGGAAGCCTACACTCACACATCCTTAGGCCAATTAGGATCGAAGAATGCTGCAAACTCCGCGTAAAACACCTAGGAGAGAAGATAAAAGATAGGTCCCTACCGTCAATGATGACGATGAACTCGAGTAGATTTCCGTAACGGTTCAGGTAGAACAAAAGGCTGGCGCCCGTGAACGGCTGCTTCCAGATGCGTTCGACCTTGGTTGCCAACATTATTACGCACAAGGAGGTGTTGGGAACGGCCGAACCTCGTCCCCGAAGGTCAGAGCTGCAGAGTTCTCGTTTAGCTGACGGATTGCGCATATCGAACATGCAGTAAACGACACGCACCATGATCATAAACTAACATTACAAAGGAGGCAATCTGAAAGTATTTTGCTGCAAGCCTGATTCGAATGTCAAAAGAACTAGAACGCTGAAAGGTTGAAAAGACGTACAGATGATGAGCCGCACGCGCGAGGGCATCGGCGCCGACTTGCTGAGAGGACATCATACAAGCCGGTGTGACCACAACGAAGTCTCCGCCTTATATACATCGTGCACTAAGGGTTCCCGAGGCAGAGAAGACAACCATCTTCTACTATCACCCGCACCCGACAAGATTACCGTTGCCGGAATCATGCAGATGGCGGTTGTCTGCCTAGAACCACACCCCCAGCGCCGGTACTCATGACATAGACGTGCGCTGTTAGAAGAAAAGTATGATAATATTCACCTGATTGGCCAACTCAGGCGTCTCGATGTGTTATTTCTCACACGGAAATAGAGCCGATGGATTCTTGACAGCCCTATGCAAGAATGCTGTTCATAATACGTCCCAGAGCAATTTGCAGACTTTATTTCCCGGTTAAGTACTGATTGGAAAAGTTCTGAGGTTCCTTGGCCGTTTCGTCGGCTTCGTGGCTTAGGTTCAATTGTGGTGGTGGAAAGGGAGGTAGCGGCAACTCCCGAGACTGGCCAATCGGAAATGTCTATTTTCGAACTCTCTGCGTGATGATGGAATGGGCGTTTAACTCTTTCTCGGAATCTGTGGTGCAGTCAACATTCAATCGGATCAAGACACGCGAGGTTTTCATCTCTTTCAAGATGAAGCTCGAAATATCCAGTCGCGAGCGTCGGCCAACGCACAGGCTGCCTTCGCCTCTTCTGTATCGATAATACGCATGACCCGCTCGGGACCAAAGGTCTCAGAAAGTGTGGTTGGACGTCCTTGATTTGGGAAGGGAGGGCGAACTTTCGTATCCCGCAGGGTTCCAAGGTCGGCGGAGTCGCTGTGGTGCTTCAAGAGCCAGAATCAGTTCTACATAGCGATATGGGGGACAACTGTTATGTCAACCAGACAAAAAAGTCTGACCTCTGACGAGTGCTTTGAATCTTACATCAGTTGTGAAGTGTCCGCTTGTTGAAGTTCATCTTGTTGCTGCTCAGAAGGGGGTTGGAGACCTTTGTTACTGCCTTCCAAGTGACATATATAGTTCGTAGAAGCGCTTGGAATTGAGGGCATAGCAAGGGGTAGTTCATGTTGTAGACTGGTGCCATCTCTCCGCTCCGCGGTGGATGAGCCGTGAGCTTCGCATTGGGCGTCCCGGAATCCCGGGATTGTCGCTCTTCTAAGGGGCGGCAGTTCAAGACCGAATGGCAACCTCCGACGGCGTTCCAACGGTTGCCTCTTTCTCATGCAAAAAGCACCAAGACGGCATAGACTGGAGGAAGAAGGATAAGCTTCACTACACCAAAGAAAAGGAGACGTGGACGCCCTGGAACAATGGAGCCGAGCGAACTGGCACCGCGCTTCCTAATTTTCGAAGGCTAACTCGCTGTCTGCTGTAGTGACATCCACCCAATTCACCGCTGGCTCTTGCGGTCTTGTCCGGTCATGTCGCACAGGATAAGAACATAATAGCCGCCAATGCAATCTGTGGGTTCGACGTCGCTTCTGCCGCCGTTCCGTAGAATCTGGAAGGTATTTGGATTATTACTGTATGTCTTCTTTTCAAATTTCAGCTCAAGCTTTCAAATTTGAGGCTTCGAATGACTTAGCTACAAGTTTTGAAACGGAAAAAGAGTCATCCAGATCGCGACTGAAAGAAATCCGAGTATAAGTAGGGGTAAATGTCCGCCAGCGTTCTTCGGGGACGAGATGGAGAATACCCGAATTTCGTGGCCACCTCAACCCAGCAGGGGTCTAGTGCATAGCAATTCCCGCACCATCAGCAACATCGCAAGAGTTTGACTGACTCGAAAGCAATTGTCTGATTGATAATAGGACTGGGGTGAACATTGTAACCCAATCATTCATCCGAGGAGAGACGCATGTACCGTTGACAAATTTTCCGAAGGTTCTTCGTGTATCGTTGAAGCTCGTTACTCTGAACTTTGGGCGGCAATCACGGGAAGCCTTGGAAGGACCTCCGAGCTGTGAATTCGAGGCATCGGAGACCTCCATTTGAACGTCGGGCTTGAGTGGTAGATAGGTTGAGACAACACAATCGGCCGCCTTCCACTGCGAACACTCGATGCTTCCAAGCAAAAGGCGAGTCCCGTTCATCCGGAAGTGCGGAGCAGCCAAGCTTCATGACTTTGAAATTTGGGCGGCGGTTGATGGGACGAGTGGAGGGTTCAAAAGTCCAGTTAAACCCCGCACAACACAAACTAGCAGAGAAGGAACGCACCACGTCCAGCCCACAGCCAATCCAAAGAACGGAATCGACCTGTCCCCCCTTCCACCGTCGTAACTCCCACTGGTAGACCCTGTCCTTGTCGGTGTCTAGTGTGCAGTCCGGAAGGAAGGAAGATAGAAATACCGGGAGGTCCCAATGAAATGAGGGTACGACCTCCGAAGTATCCTAGAGCGGTCCTAAGCATCGCGACTCCGAGACATCGGCGACAGCTAAAGATATCAACACGGAAATAGCAGTCAGGAAACCGCGTCGCATGCCTTTCTGGTTCGTAGCAAGAGACTTGAGCTGTCAAAGATGTCGTCGAATTGAGACGAAAATGTATTACAAACAGAGGGACGAGTACAAGGTCCAAAATTGCTCCTAAGTCTGAGTTGACTTCTTACAGCGTGAGGTTGTATTCGTACTCGCTGCTGGTGTTCTGCGCAATCCAAAGTACGACGGCGGAGAGCATTAGGGCAACACTTTGTGATACGTTGGCGTAGCCGTAGTAGGCGAACTGCTCGGGGTGGCCTTTAAGGATATACTTGAGGACTAGCACAGTCTAGAGGGCCTGGTTAGTCATGACGCAAAAAGACAGCAGCAAGGTTACGCACCACGCTCCCAGCCAGCCCGCCAGCCATCAAAGCAAACCCGATGAACAGGATCAACCGTGCCCTCCACACCGCTCTCGAATCTCCAAACCCATCCTCGCCACGAACCCTGTCCTTGTCGATGAGGTTGATCACCAAGTATCCAAGCAGAGAGCAGATGCCGGGGATCCAATCAACAAAGCTGACGTGAACAGGAGGATCGTTGTCTGGATCCCCCCAGGGTGCTTTAGCGTGAGCGGAGAGAATTGCTGCGTCAATAAATGTCCAGTTGGCCAGAGCGAACTGAAAAAATGTCAGAACAACCGCAACATGCTCAAGAGGCCAACTACACTCACCAAGGCGCCTGCCAGGTAAACACCAACAGTTCGACGGTGCTTTCCTAGCGTAAACTCGGGAAATGGGTTCAAGCAGACCCTTCGAGGGTCGTAATTTGCCCGTGGCAGAGACATATGCGAGATTCGAGAAGGAGAAGGTCGATTTGCAGGAGATGGGGACAACTGCGGCAGATGGAGGGTGCTGGGCGATGAGGAAACCCCGTGGGAATAACCTTCCGCATCGTTTTGTACCTGAGTTTCAACGCGGACTGCGATTTCCACTGGTGTTCGAACCCAATTTTGCTGGGGAAATTTGCTGAAAGAGAACATGGAGAGGAGGGAGAAGCGTAGAAAATCGACACTTGTATTGCAGTCGTTCGACTGAGCTTGCACCTTCACAAATGGCTGCGTCAGCGATCTGATTTGACTTTGTCAACGCCATCGCGTCAACACAGCCTACTCTATGTCTTCTAATCTATGGATCATGGATGGATACTGAGGGTAATGCTCAATGAAAAAACGCAGTACTTAAATGAAATTTCTAGCTGCTGCGCCAGAAGCCCTTCTGTATCGTTCTACGTTTTGAAGTCCTCTTAAAAGATTCACCCGAGAACAAGGTTTATATGAAGAATCCCAAAATCCAGGTGCACGGCGGGAGGTTAGGCGGAGAAAAGAGACTGGGTGGTAGCAACAGAAATTATGACATTGACCGCAACGGATGGACATGACACTTCATTGCTTCAAGACGGTTCCATGCCTGACAGTTCCCGAAAGGCTTGGGATGGTCTGATACGCTGACCAATTGTAGAGGTCGCTCGAGTCTGAGTAGATATATTTCCCTGTTGCAATGAGAATCCGTTATTATAAAAATTTAGAGGGCACAAAAAACGGAATAACAGACCACTGCTGTATCCGTCGGCATATCTACATATTGAAGTAGATTAGTCGTACACAAAGAGTGATGAAGAAACCTTGACGTACAAGCGGAATCTTCCGTTCGGCAACACAGTGATGGACGGGCCTTCAGCCTGGCCCCAACCTGCGAAATTTCCAGTCTGGACAAACGAATAGGGGCCAGTCAATGAGCTCGCGACGGCGTGCTCGATGGTCTTCTTTCCATTAGTTTCGGCCTTGGCGAAGATATGGTATTGGTTGCTAAAATGACCCACAGTTAGGAAAACGACGAGGAAGAGGAAGGTCTTGACATACTTGAAGAACACGGGGAAAGTATCAATATATCCAAGCCCTGCGTTCGAAATTCCCGACATCACGACTGGGCCGGACCAGCTCGTCAGACTCGAGTCCCTGGCGGTAAACACATAGGGCAGGAAGGGGCCATAGCTTCCTGTCGAAAGCGAGACGATGATGTTGATCTGTCCAGTCCTTGGGTCCTTGAAGAATTCCTAAAGGCAGCTTCGGTATTCCAAACATTGAAAGAAAAAAAGACGTTTTGACTGACCGGCGCCCAGGTGTTGATTGGGGTGATGACGGAGGATGCAGTCGAAACTGTCGCTCGAAGAGTCCAGGTAATCATATCTGTGCTACTCTGCATAGAGTTGAGAGAAGTGTATGATCGAAGAGAGATGCAGCACTTACTGCAATAGCAAAGTTTGTTCCGGACCAGTTGGTCGTATCTGCCGCTAATTGTAACCATCGCTGATTTCTAGGACTCGTTAGACGCACAAGCAATGTAATAGTTCCCACTACAAACACGATCAGCCCCATCTCCATGGAACATGGCGTTTGGAGACTCACTCGGTATGCAAAATGACACTCGGATCTCTGATCAGGCCACTCGGAGGCGTGTACGTCGGACCCTTCAGCAATGAGAAACTAGTACCGTCATTCGAGGTGTAGACGAACAAGTTCGACTCTGATGCAGTAGTGAACGCGGTGAAGACATATGGCGCACTGACCGCCCGTTTGAATAACTCGGGGGAGAGTGCTGGGGTGGTCGAGGTTATGTTGCCATTCAGAGGCACTGTGCGGGCGAAGACAGCAGCGAGGCAGAGTGAGGCGATCGAAAGAATGACCTTCCGGGACATCTTGTCGAGTAAAAGTCTCAGAGGTCAAATAGATGCCTTTATAGAGGAACCACCGTGTGAGGTGCGGTTGATCTTTGATCTTTTCCGCCCATCCTGAGGCCACGACACAGCACATAGCCAAATTATCTGAAAAAAACGGTTAAATTGCATCAAAGAAGTCTCCAGAGCGCCATTTCAAGGTGGAAAGCTGGGAACTTACGGAGGAATTCCGTCAGGTGCTCCATTATTTCTTGCACATCCCGGAAGAACCAGAGAACGTCAACGCGGGTTCCGAGAAAACACTTCCATGGCGGGTGAAAGAACCGCATATATCCGTTTACTGTCTTCTTGGCTGGGAATCGTGAGTTATGAATTGCGGGGAAGCGCACTGCAAGAGAGGATTTTCCGCCCCGGCCAAAAGATCAGGTGGACGAAACATTCAACTTGAACAACATGGCGCAACTTCAAAAACGAGAAGTCAAAGCAAACAAACATAGAGTGCTTACTTCTGGAAACCCTCGATGAGGTCTTTGCCAGTGTCCGCGATAGTAGTCATGAAGAAATTCGTCAATTGCATCATGCTACCCACTGGGTCCAACTTCAACAAAAGACCTCATCATATGCAGGGTATGCGTAGACCTTTGGATATCTGAGGTTAATTTGAGTTCACTAGTTCGTTTTAGCCTTCAGACGCGTCGTTGCTCTTAGTTGGGCCACGAGACACTGTCTGCATGGTAGTGGTTGGAGAAGATGGCGGGAGTGGACGGGCCGGGGTGAGGCTTGTGATTTCGTGACTTACATATGTCACGTCATGCGGAGTGACTTAGCGGGCTCGGCCGCTCGGGCGAAAGTTTGACTTCAGTTCCTTGACGCTTTGATTCTTTCCTGGGACCCTCTTCGACTGATTTTCTTGACCGCCACTAACACACGGTAGGAACAAGGAGGTGAAACGAAGAGGCTCCTATGTCAGTTCGACTTCGACAGACGACCAACAGACGACGAAATTCAGCCTGAACTTGACTGAACTGTACGTACTAGAAGGCAATGGGATTCACAAGGATTCACAGGGTTCTAACAGTGGTCGGCGTCACTTGGAATAATAGAATAGGCGGTAATGACGGTACCGAATCCTGATAACTGGTATCAGCGGCCCCTGGTACCTTCTTCGACATTGTATAAGCGATAAACCATCTGGAACCCTCCTCTTTGAGCCAACCACAAAAGGCGAACAATGGGCGCGTACCACCCCTGATGCAAAATTTGAGTGGCTCCACCTGAGGCGAGAGCAAGTGGCCTCAGGTTTGCCCTTTAGGACGTGCAATTCCCAAATCCGGCAATGTTGCGGAGTGGCGCGCTGAACAATGCGCTTCTGGCCCATCAGGGGCTTTGCGTAGTTGGCCACAGCACTTAGACGTCGAGCCACATTTTTGTGGTATTTAACTGGTCGACATGCAGGAGGAGGGGCCATCCGTACCCACTCTCCTACTTTCTCCACTGATCAAAGTCTACCTATGCCGTCTAATACCTCCGACATTGGTGCTCAGGCTCCCAACTCATCCACCCCGGGACCTGCGCGCCGAGTGATCACCAGAGTTCCCGTTGACCAACTCTCTTCTGCTATTCCGTATCCTTCCACCATCAACACCGCCAAGATCCCGCCCCCTCGTGCCCCCATCGCCACCACGTTTGGCGTTAACCAGCACTACCGGGCCAGAGCAGGAGATAATGTCCAGCCTTCCATGAATCCAATGCCAGAAATACATGGCCTAGAGGATGCACATTTCCACATGGTCGGATTATTTTCTTATTGCCACCCCATTTCTCGAGCTAATGTTCGCGAAAACCCAGATTGGAGACCCTGTTTATGTGCGTCGCGTGTACTCAGATGGACGCTCCTCCGCCTGGATGTCGGGGATCGTTGAAAATCCCGCATTTCAAAAAGACCCGACAGTAAGCCCGGTTTTTTCCACGTCAACCTTTGTCCGAACGTCATTTTCGCAGACCCAGGGTGATACCGACATCCGTGTCTACTCCGTCGTCATCAATGACAGCACAGCGCCACCGAGGAAGAACGGTCACCGCCGCACTTACTGCCCTGAGAAGGGCGAAATACGTGCCGTCCCCAATAACGACATCAAAGGCGTGCGTCTATACCTTTTACTACGACTGAACTCGATATCCTAATTTACAATCGAACATCTAGAGCAAGGACACTTGGCTCTTCCTAATCAAACCTTCCGGCAGTAGCCAGGGCATCTGGACACCCGGAACGGTTGTCGTAAGTGCTCCTCGTACCCCATGGGACGTTGACATTAATTGCTAACTTCATGTCCGACTTATTGATACCAGAATCTCGGGGATGTCAAAGGTTATCTTGTCAAAGTTTGCGCGGGAAAGGAGAACGAGAAAGAGTTTGATAATGTCGAGAGATTCCTGCCATTGCACGCGAAATCACTCAAGTACCTCAAAAAAAAGCACGAGGTGATCGATTTCGATGCTGTAGCCAAAATATTGGGGATTGACTGGAGGGCGTAACAAGGACGGGGAGAAAAGATAGGCAATCCCTTTCTCATGAATCGTGCTTGAAAAGTTTTTGTTACTGGATCTTTCTACCCTCTACCCTTAGCTATCGCTATTCTAAGCTCCTCGAATCAGATCCGCTGTACACCTGTCCTCTCGTAACGCAATCTATCACCTATTTCCCTAAAAACAGCCTGACCCATGTGAAACGGCGTGCTTCAACGTCAAGATGACTCTTCTAGAGGTGTGTATATCGACAACAAACCGACAGAAATAGCCTGTCTCTTTGCGAGAGACTCGGACCCGCGGGTCTAAGCTGCAATCCCTTCTCAAGCTCCTGACGGCGCGGCCCTTCTAGCCTCGAGACCTCATTCCGTACATTAATTTTCTCCTGCATCTAGCACCCTGACCTGCAGATTGCACGACCTCGCTGCGCCACGATCCTGAGTCCAGCAACCTTACCACTGCGCTCCAGCCTCCTCGCCGTCAGCATCAGAAACAGCGTCTGCGCCCGCATGTGCGAGCGCCTACATGTCGGCCCGACCAACCGAATGCGGAACCTCGGCCCAGGCTGCCGAAAAATCCGTGAATCCGAAGAACGCTGAGGAGAGTCAGAATGGGATGGGAACAAGATACGTTCAGGGAGAGGAGTAAGTGTGAGCCATCCACGGAATCGGCCGTAAGTTGGAGGGAATCTGAGGGGGATTGCATTGAGGATTCGGGTCCAACGAAATGGCTGGGTTTTCGGTATGGATCTGCGGTCCGTTCGTGCCAGTGGATGACCTGCGAAATGCCGATCAGTCAATTGCAGAGTGTCAAGTAGCACCCCCTTGATTGAATGGGGATTGTCTTTTTGTAGGAATGATACTACATGCATACACCACCGTGATAAGAGTCTGCTAATTTTCCTGGTCCCTCTCCAAGAGTTGCGCTCACGCGGCTACAACTGACCTGGTCCTTTCTGCCGACCGTTGCGGTGCTCATTGTGCGGCTCGGTATCTTCCAGGGAAAGGCGAACCCAGGAATCTGAACGGTGAATACCCTGATTGTCGGGTACCGGATGCATTAATTGCATTACTTTGAAAAGAAACATGAAGGACGTAACAAGACAGCGGGGCCAATGGTGCTACAGTATGTTCGGTGACTACGAGACGCGAGAGAACGATAGTCCGTGAAATCCTGGTACCGAAAACAACACAACAGAAAAGATGATCAAAATCGAAAAGAACAACATCATAAAGATTTGTTGGGAAAGGGCAGGGGGAGATTTAGTCTCATGAAAAGCGGCGAAAAGTGCAGGGTCGATATATAAGGGAAAGTGGCAGGAAGGATGATTCAAATTGGAGAGAAACGGCCGAGATAACCAGCAGTGTGCAATCGATTCGCCCGAGCGAGGATAGTCCCCTCCGAAGGCGACGAATCTTGACGAGCGGTGACGGGGAATCCCAGAAGAGGGTGGCAGGGTGATGGGGTATATCCGGAGAAATGCTTGGATGGAACCCGGTGGCGTGCGAGACAGGACTGAGGCGAAGGATACACGGATGGGGACAGCTTGCGAGAAAAGTTGCGCTTTACGTACGATCGAGGGATATTGCGGCGGAAGGTGCCAGGCTGTGTAATGTCGTCGCCAGCTCAGCTAGTACTGCATGTGTAGAATATATCCGTGCACGCGGGGGAGCAGAGTCACTTATAAGCTTCGCGGAAGAACAAGCGAGAGCTGAGAATCACGCACGTATTGCGATTTGAGCAAGCGCGGCGGGATGCTTCCCGTCATGTTGTGTCTGTAATCTCGCGGGTAGACCGTGGTCTCCTTTGGTGTGTTAATCGTGATCGAGGGGATGCGGTCCCGCTCGCGGTTCGGGTCTGAGGGCTCCAGCTGGTACCCCTCTGGCAGGAACGAGTTGAACCCTCTGACGAGCTCTGGGTATCCGTTGAGCACGCTGCATACCCGCACTAGCACCTCACGGGTGTCGATCCTGGTGACCACGCACGTCAGACGCCTGCAGCGATAAGGATAAGCGAAGATGAGCGACGTACGCGTTGCTCCTGAAATCCTTCATAATCCCAAGAAACGATTCATATCTCCCCGCTCCATCCTCCTGGAATTGACTCTTCATGTTGTCGAGGAAGTCGACAGCTTGTGGGTTGTTGTGCATCGCTGCAACGCTTCAAATGTGCTTGCTGGCAGGGCTGGCGGGAGAATCTTGGGGGAGCGCGAGAGTTACAAGGCGACGGGTACACGGCAGCCTTTTGTATGCTGCAGAAATTGTGTGGGAGTGAAGACTGGGGAACGCGGATCGTGGAGGAATTTAAGTAGGTACGCTTAAGAGTGATCGAGCGGGTGGTGCCGTCCCTAGCCGAGGCCGGCCCGGAACACCGAATCTTAGAACCGCACTGTCCACATACATACCTCGAAATCAGCGTCGCTCCTAACGTAAAAACTGCGCCGGGATACCGTTTCTGGATCTCACGTTGTTGGGATTTTAGTGATTGGTATGGAACCTTAAGGTCAACTGCTTCTACAAACGCGCCAACCGCACTCTACTTAATATTCGTCCACAACCAAAGCTCGCCCGAGGATCCGCAAAATGGAAGCTATGCACTGTATTCCCTGACAGCTCGTGCAGTGAAATGAAAAGTGGCGGGCGTTCTCGACTCGGGAGTCGGGAGCAGGGTCCGAAGGATTGCTCAGCGCTCAATGAACTGCTTCCCCTAACACTATGTGCAACGGCGTTACGGGCTTCTTCGACCTGATGCCCGTTAATGTAGCACTCGACCTTTTGGTATGTACTCGACAATATCTTCAACTTGGAAACCTTAATTGAAGTCCATTACTGGCCCGGGCCACCGATTACGGTGTTCCCCCTCAGGCCAATAAGTGTCCGAGGTCCTCCCCGGCCGGCTGGCAGATGCTATTTGCACTATGGTTATTTTTACACAGCACAATCGTCTACAGACAATAATTATATTGCCAGAATATATTCACGTGCAATTTCTGGCAGTGAGAACACCCCTCCCCCCAAAGCCTTCATTCATATGGTTCGAGAACTTGTTACATACAGAAACAGACTTAATTTTTTTTGTGCATAGATGTATGTCGTCGACTCACTGTCAAATACCGTGGTAGTCCATCCGTCGGCTGCATGAGGGGTGGGAACTTGCAAACACCGGCCTCGGAAGAAGCGCCCATAAAGGCGCCCGTCTCGCACAACGCTACTTAGGCTTTGTATAACCCTTAATTTTAATTTGAACGAGGAAACAGCTTGGAATACCCTGTGGGTCACTAGTATTTATATGCGCAAATGCCAAGCAGGTTTAGGCGATGGTTGGTGAGAAAATATGCTAAAATAGTGGTGAGGAAGGATTCCCTAAGCGCTACTCATTGAGCCTGTAATTGAGCATAAGACACTGAAGTTAGAGATTAGAGAAGCATTTAAAGAGATATAAGTTCATTTTAGCTGACTAGACCTTTGGTGGATAGACGACGGGCACCTTCTTACTAAGCCTTTTCGCAAACAGTTGTTTGTGGAGGGCTCTTCCTCTTGAAAGCCCTCGGTAAAGTTTCAAAAAATAAGCTAAATAAAATTAATTGCCAAGAATTAACAGTCTGTTTAGTTTGCTCATGAGATGTGTCCTGCTCTCGAGACACATGAAAGAAAAGACTTTGAGGATGGGGTGTTCCCACTTGAGGGGACTACAAAAGTGCGCAGCAATATTTCGGCAATGTAATGGTGTTTTCTGGAAGTAGCCATACCGTGTATATGTAATACTAATCGAAATAGCTCAATCCAAGCTAGATGGTGCCCGAAACGTCAAGGGAGACGGGGACGAATCTAAGGATAGCCGTGGGACAGCGTCCGCCAGCCGGCCAGGGGAGGACCTCGGCCACTTGTGGGTCTGAACCCGGACCGATGGACTGGGCACTGTCCGAAGTACATATTGCATAGTATTAGCTGAGGACGTGGGCCGCATTCCCCGATTTCATCCTTAAGCATGAAAAGTGGATGCTTGAACAATCATCCACAGAAGACGTTCTTCGATGCTACCTCACGGCCTCATCTCGTTTCTGAGGATGGTTTATCCCCTTCTTTGGGTGAATGGCCAGTCAACGAGGAGATAAACCTTATCGTCCATCTGGCTTCGTAGCAACTACACAGCAGCGGTGAGTAACTTCGGTCCGGGGCGATGACTCTTGGCATACTACATAATTAGGAGTCTGAGCGAAGCGCCGGTGCTTATTAGGGCTTATTTGGCGCAGCGCTCTGGGTGACGGGCGCTAGATCTCATAAACCTTACACTGCACCTTTCTGAAGGAAAATTCGAGATATTTGGTGAGGATAGAGGGCCGCAGTGCTTATCCGTGCCGAACGGAGGCCAAGCCCAATCGCCGTCAAGGACCCACTGCGAGTGCCGAGTCGAGACTTAATGCTCGGTAGTTCGACAGCGGCTTCAGAAATGGTGAATGGAAGTACTCGCCAGAATAGTGTATCCGTCGACGGTGTCTGGAGTGGACGATACAACTTCAGAATTTGGCTGAACAATCAGGTTTCGGTATTCGGGATTGGGGATTGTTTCTCGTCTCTTCGCTGGCCTTGGTGGCGTTGAGAAGCCCAAGGGATTCCGAACATCCGACTCCTCGCCATCGCAGGGCCAGACCATACTACACCGTCCAGGTGTCCCCAGTTTTTCCTCACCCCAGTCGACCCTCGCTGAAGATAGATCTTCGCAGACAAATCACAAATCAGCCCTCGTGTCCTTCACATTGTGGCGTCGACCGAAGGCCTAGGACCATCCCCTCGTCTGGGTACGCTGTCTAAGTCACTAGCACTTTTTTAGTTCGAGAAATCACCCCCCGCCGCGGTATCCCAGCTTTGAAAAAAGGATATCTATTCAGGCTCAAGGCCGTATTATAAACTTGGGTACGGAGCCTTGATCAATAGGGGGAGTCAGAGTGGGCGATTTTCGACGATTCTGGGGCGATTCTGATGACGGTTTTGACACGATTTAAAATTCGGTTTTCGCCAAGAATCGGACCAGAACCGGCGGAAGACTCTGACCACCCCGATTCCGGAAACTCGTGTTTTCGTGCGATTTCCATCGTCTTGTCCGTTTCGATGCTGTCTTCCCTTGGTATAAGCAGCCCTTTGTAGAATCCTGAGTATAGAAGCTGCGATTCACGGATAATTCAACTGCCTGGGGCTCCTATATTTTTTTGGCATTTTCCCCCCGCCGCGTTGTCAAGTTTTGTATCAATTGCACCGAAAAAGGGAGCGAGATGATGAAAGAGCGTTCAGATCATATTCACCATCACAAAAAATGATTTACCAAACCTCCAGACCGACGGGAAGAAGGGGCAAATATATTTTAATGAATTAATCTGCATATTCAAGAAGGGGGAGGCGAGTACACAGAACCAGAATCGCTGATTCTCGACTGCAAAAGCGGCTCCAGAGGCGCTTTGCGATTCGGGACGATTCACGGTTTTCACACGTTTCTGGGGCAAACGATTCTGGTCGAAATCGTTTTCTAGAACCGTCCCAGAATCGGGCACTCTGACTCCCCCTAATAGTTTCTTCCGTTTTCTTCTTCCCACTTCTAACGTTGCCTTTGTGCTGCGCAACCAGGAAGAAGGTCCCTCCTATCTAGCATCAAGACCTTATGGAAGACGGCATATTCGCCGTTCGTTTTCCTCTCCAATGCTGACCCTCAAAATAGAACCAGAGCTTATTTGGCACGCACGAACTCTCAACATTGCTTAGCTTCTTACAAGATACCCCCGTCCTGGTATCCCTGAAAGAAGCATCAGTTAGCAACCCTACGCAAGTCTCAAGGCCAGCTACTTGGGTACGGTGCCTCGTAGATCCCTTTTATTCTTCTTGTTCTCTCTCGACCTTGCCGTTAGGTTCCAGACAAAGGAAGAAGGTCCCCCAGGTCCCGCGTCCAGAATTTGTGTCTACGGTAGAGATTTGCCGTTAGTTTTCCTCCTGCACGTCGACCCTCGACACGAAGCCAGATCATTTGTGGATAAAGCGACCAATGCCTTTTTTCTCCACTTCCCCGTTCCCGCGGCCTTGCCTACCCTTCAAAACTCTAATTTGCGGCCTTACGGTGCGTCAACTTTCCATTCGTAAACGAAGCCGACGATCCCCCGCATCCTCATGACTCTCAGCTAAGTCAAGTACTATGATGAAATAGTGCTCGATCGGCTGTCTATGTGGCGCCTCAGTATCATGAACAACTTGCTCTCACGCCTCTTACGCAAATATACTAACACCTGCTAGACCTCAATGTATGTACAGTAATAGCATATTGAACTCAGGGGGATGGCGAGGCAAATTGAAATGAAGCATTTTTTAATCACGTCGAGGTCGTGCAGGGAGTAACGAAAAGGACAGGAATCAACGATACAAGGTTCTGGACTAGTAGCTAAGTAAACTGCGTTTAAACAATATGAGCAGGCTTGAGTCGACAGTCTTCGAGCATTTAAGAGAGGAAAGACACTATTCCTCTTGCTTCTTCATGATAAGAAATGCAGTCGAGACAATTTCGGTGTTTCATCCAAGAAATAAACCTCGAGGGAAGCTTTACTGGATGCCTGCCATGTGTACAATGGTTAGGCTATCTCTAAAATTATAGCGCCCACCCAAACGCCGGCTACGTGGAGGCTGTAGATCTTGGGCAAGACGGCGGTTTACAAAGTTGACTAGCAGATTTGGGCATCGGGGGTTCTGGTCTAAGAGAATATGGAAATAATACATTTTACTTGAATTTCACGCGAGGCCGCTGCCCCTCCAATCACGCGGGCGGTCCGTCGGGCCGAGTAGCTTCAGCCTTCTGGCTTATTCGAAAGTTGAACGGTTAACGTTCAACGTTCAACTTCTGTATGAATCCGTCCGGGGTAGAAAGTTTTTCGCGTTATTCTGCAGACGACGCGTGAAGTGGGCACTTGCCAATGGGCCGCGCCCACATACCAACGCACGCTATAATTAGCGTGGTGTGTGGCGCATCAATTGTCGAACATTCGGACACCATTCAATATTCACATTCCACATTGCTTACAAGGAACTCGAATTCCGTCCCAAACTTGATCCCTCCAAGCCACCCCGGGGATACCTTGGTTAAGCTTCTATCACGACCCCGAGTCATCGGAATCTATCCTAGTAACCTAACACTTAGCACAAACCATCTCGGGGCAACATTCCTCTCTTTGCCACAGGTACCCCGATGCAGGAATTGCACTTTGGGTGTAAAAGTGTGCTGTGGGCGCTGATCATCTTTTCTCGTAGCGGCCTGGAACATATCTTATCTCCTTACTGTACCCCACCGGCGGCACTACGGAATCGAGGACTCCAGAGGACTCCTTGGAAAGCCTTCATTGTCCTCGAAATAAACCTTTCGGGTTGTGGAGAGTATACACACCGATTGTCGCATAGATTCTCTCTTTTGCATCCACGATGCGGGATCACTGGAGCTCTTTGTGAATTCACAAAACGCTTTGCGCCATGCTTGACTGGCTTAGCTTAGTCTACAGGCCCGGCTATGTACGTTATTCCATTGCGGTTGCTCCACTGCTCTCTCAAGGAAAGGTTAGCCGCAGCACTTTTGTGGCGGGCCATGTGTAATCGGGTAAGCAATGCTACTGTCAAGGCTGTTTACATCATTTGGACGGGCAGGCTGTGGTGCGATGAAGGTGCAATGAAACGAATAGTAGCAATGCTTCCTCGTCGGACTCGGTCCTGTGAACTCAAACTGCACAGCGAGTTTCGGGCTAACTTCTGAAGCTTGCTGCGGTACAATTGCAAGCCAGCTGCATACTAAAGCTAAGATGAAATCAACAGATGTAAAGAGAGCCGCTATACCATTATTAGGGGTGACTCACACCATACACGGACTGACGTCAACAGCTTTGTCAATCTTGCCGAAAGTAGCGCACGCTTTGGCACTGTAACATTCCCGGCTTGCTGTGCTGCGGTGATTATGACAGGGTTCGGCAAGATGAACTCGGCGGCCGAAATGGGTTGATTTTGGTAAAATTTCTGCCTTGATGGTGAAATTGGGCGTCAATGAAGGCGCGGATGTGTCAGCACACTTGACATACCCAACAATCGCGAGGATCGGAAGCCACGTATCCGTTATCTCAGGCCCTCTTAGTTCCCGGTAGTGTCGCCGTAATAGTGCTCCAGCTTGGTCGGAAATGGTCGAGGAAAACGCGTTTCACGGCGCTGAAGGAGGATAGAGTATACACTGAGTTGAAAGAACCTTGTGGTCGAGGCGAAGCAACTCAATTACGATCAGCTTCGGCACGTTCCTGGGCGCCAACATTGTTTAACCTTGGCAAACGCACCTAAGTTGGTCAGCGTCAGGACAAATTTTGCCGAAAGGGCAACCGATCACTCCATTTGTGTCCTCCGACGCCAACCTCCGTTGGAGGATTCAAAAGCAAAGCAATGTTCGACCAGCTTTTCTCCATCTACGTTTCTTACTTTCTCCTTAATGTCGGACCACCTACCCCCACTCCTCACGGACATCGTCGAGGAGGCGCCTTCAGCCTCCATCTCCAGAGCCGCCTCCCAACCTACACTCAGAGGCAACGATACTCCCATCGATGAGGTCCCCCCCCTCCCACACCACTCACACTATGAACACAACCCACCGCCACCGTCTTCACCGCGTCCAGAGCACAAACGCCGCAGAGACTCCCGCAGGGACTCGCAAGTTTCCCATGTCTCCGTCGAATTTTTCGACCCGGCGGGTGTGGAACAACTTCGACGGACGTTGACGCAGCAGACGAAGCAGGAGCAGCATGAAATGCAGGAGTTGGGTGGCTCGCAGGCTTCGGCGGCGAGCTCGGAGGTGACGTTGAATGTCAACGGTGACGGACCGTTTGACTTTGAGAAGATGTTGAGGCATGCCGTTCGCAGGTAAGTCCAAATCAAATTATTTCGGGACGGTGTACTGAGCGTCTCCAGACGCGACGAACGGCAGATCAAGCACCGCTCGCTGGGTATCGTCTTCCAGGACGTCCATGTTATCGGTCACGGCGTGTCGGATTCATTCCAGCCGACGCTCGGATCGGTGCTCAACCCACTAGCCGCCATCGAACAGATCCAGAAGGCCCGCCACCCGGCGCTGCGTGATATCCTCGTTGGGTTTGAGGGGGTGGTGAAGCCACGGGAAATGCTCCGTGAGTTTTCTCCTACCCATGCCTGACGCCCAACTAACCCGCTTTAAGTCGTGCTTGGCAGCCCCGGGTCAGGTTGCAGCACCCTCCTCAAGACGCTCGCGAACCACCGGAAGGAGTACTACTCCGTGCAAGGCGACGTGCACTACGACTCGCTCTCGCACGAGGACCTCGACAAGCGCTTCCGGGGCGACGTACAGTACTGCCCGGAAGACGATGTGCACTTCCCGACTCTGACGGTCGAGCAGACCCTCAAGTTCGCGGCGACGGCCCGCACGCCCCGGGTCCGTGTCGATGCGTCGCGAGAGGAGTTTGCGGACTCGACGACGAACCTGCTCGCTACGATCTTTGGGCTGAAGCACGTCCTGAACACGCCCGTTGGTGACGCCTCTATTCGGGGTGTGAGCGGAGGCCAGAAGAAGCGCGTGTCGATCGCGGAAGCTCTTGCTGCTCGGAGCTGCATCGGAGCATGGGACAAGTGAGTCTCTGCTCCTCGTCTCTGGTTTCCATTTTGCGTTAGCTCTGTCGACGTGAATGTGGATATGAATTATGATGGGCGCAGAGGCTAACGAGCTTGCTTGTTTTATTTTTACTTAGCTCCACTCGTGGACTCGATGCCTCAACTGCGCTCGAGTTCGTCCGTGCTCTCCGTATCGCGACGGACGTCTTCGAGCAGACCACGATCGTCTCGATCTACCAGGCCGGCGAGTCGCTTTACCAGTACTTCGACAAGGTCTGCGTCATCTACGAAGGTCGCATGGCCTACTTTGGCCCTGCGGACCAAGCAAGGCAGTACTTCATCGACATGGGGTACGTCTCACTCCCTCGTTTCTCCCTACCCCCGTTTATCTTAGTCTTAACCTTCACCTTTGCATGCAGATACGAGCCAGCGAATCGCCAAACGACTGCCGATTTCCTCGTGGCCGTGACGGACCCCAAGGCCCGCATCCCGCGCGCAGGCATCACGAACCAGCCACGCACCGCGGCCGAGTTCGCCCAGTACTTCATGAACTCGGAGCTAGGCCTTCTGAACAAGAGCGAGATCGAGACGTACCGCGACGAGCATGTCGGCAAGGCGCACAAGAAGGACGCGTATGTCCAGAGTGCGAGGGCGGAGTTTGCGAAGAGGAGTCACAAGAACAGGTGCGTCTGAGATTTTTAGTTGATGGTGGATGATGTTTTCTGAAGATTTGATATGTAGTCCGTACTTGTTGAGCATCCCACAGCAAGTCAAGGCCGTCATGATTCGCAGAGTGCAAATTATCAGGGGTAATGCGTTGGCCACCGGCCTCAATCTAGTGTAAGATTCATTCTATCCATTCTTTTACGCTAACTAATTCATATTTCCGTAGTTCTTTCATTTTCCAAGGCATCATCATGGGGACTGTGTTCTTGAAGTCCCAGGACGCGACAAGCGCCTATTTCTCGCGCGGAGGTGTTCTCTACTTGTACGTATTTTTTTTTCTTCCTTGCTTCACGCCTTATCTCTGAAAAATTCTGCAGCGCGCTGCTCTTCTCGGCACTCTCAGCCATGGCCGAAATCCCGTCTCTGTACTCTCAACGTCCCATCGTACTCAGACACGACCAGGCAGCCTTGTACCACCCCTTCGTGGAAGCTATGGCGCTCACACTCGTCGACTTCCCCATTACGCTCGTTACCACCATTGTTTTCGCCAACATCCTTTACTGGATGGTTGGTTTGCAAGCCAGCGCTGTGAGTGCCTATTTTTGGCACTGTTAAGCGTTGCTATGATGCTGACTGAGCTATTTGCTATACTATAGGACCAATTCTTGTGAGTCGAAATCTGTCGCTGCGCCGCACTCGCCGAGAACGGATTGATTGATTGCCTATTTTGTTTGCAGCGTTTTCCTGCTGTTCTTGTTTGCGATGAGTCTGACCATGAAGGGCTGGTTCCGGGCCACCGCTGCGGCCTTCAAGTCGGAGGCTACCGCCCAAACGGTCGCTGGTATCTCGGTGCTCGCGCTCGCAATTTACACAGGTTAGTCCCCATTACCTGGGCGTTGTTTGAGTTTTTGCTCATCAAAACCCCCCACTCTGCGCCGCACATGCACAGGTTACACCATTCCCAAGCCATCTATGATTGGAGCGCTGCGATGGATCACTTACATAAATGTGAGTCTTTGGTTTTGACTTTACCCGGCGTTGGCGTTGGGCGTCGTCGGCTTCTGTCTTTTCGTCCCAGAGAGCAGTGCTAATCTGGGAATTCACCCCTTCTAGCCGCTGAAATATGGGTTCGAGTCCATTATGACGAACGAGTTCCGCACTATCGACGGTGTTTGCTCAAATCTTGTTCCGCAAGGCCCTGGATACGAGAACATCACACTCGACAACCAAGTTTGTACCACGGTTGGCTCTCTCCCCGGTCGGTCAACTGTCGACGGAAACCGCTTTGTGGAGTTGTCGTACGGATTCAAATGGAGCAACACTTGGATGGTATGTTCTACTCCATTCGAGCTCCTTGTGTTCTTGCGCTGAAGTCATTTTGACAGAACTTTGGTATTGTCGTGGCGTTTGGCGTCGCCTTCCTGGCCGCGCTCTTGATCTTCACCGAGTTCAACACCTCCCTGTCAACTGATACTTCCGTCGTTCTCTTCAAGCGTGGTACCAAGCCCAAACCCAAGCGCAAAGCCGGCGATGAGGAGAAGGGTGATTTCAGCGATGAGAAGACCCCCGCTGGTTCTGTCGCTCTTCAGAAACGCCCTTCTTCGAATGATGTCGTCGCCCCTGCGATGACGGACATTTTCTCCTGGCAGAATATCAACTATACGGTGCCTATCCCTGGGAAGGAAGACAGGCAGCTCTTGGACAGTGTTTCAGGCTATGTCGCACCTGGCAAGCTGACGGCTCTCATGGGTGAATCCGGCGCGGGTAAGACGACACTACTCAACGTCCTCGCCATGCGCACGGATACCGGTGTCATCACTGGCGATTTGTTCGTCAACGGACAGGCGGTACCAGCCGACTTCCAGTCCCAAACGTATGTGTCTATTTTTGGCTCAACGCCTTGAAGTCGCCGCTTAACCAAGATTTTAGTGGCTACGTTCAGCAGATGGACACCCACGTTCCGTTCAACACCGTTCGTGAAGCTCTTCTCTTCTCCGCCAAGCTTCGCCAGCCCCCTTCGGTCCCGCTCTCAGAGAAGGAAGCTTAGTGCGTCGTTTGTTTTCTCGGTCACTTCCGATCCTTACGGAAACTTTCTAGCGTCGAGAAATGTCTTGAGATGTGTGGTCTTGTCGATTACGCGGACGCCACTGTCGGTTCTTTAAACATCGAGCACCGCAAGCGTACGACTATTGGTGTCGAACTCGCCGCCAAAGTACGCCTTCGCACTCTTCTCCTCGAGTTGGGACCTTGTTGACCTTTTGTTTCGTGCAGCCCAAGCTCCTGCTCTTCTTGGACGAACCCACCTCCGGCCTTGATTCGCAGAGCGCATGGGCCATCATGTCGTTTTTGAGATCCCTTGCCGACAGTGGACAGGCCATTCTTTGCACGTAAGCCATCTTCACGACATGAAATCCTCATTTGACTAACTTACTTGCCTTCCAGCATTCATCAAGTGCGCACTATTCACATAATCGTTTGACCCACACTAATCACCTTGTCATTTTAGCCGTCTTCTGAGCTGTTCCAGGTACGCCTCAATTATCAGCCACAGATGGTGTTCCAATATCTGATTCTTGTTCTTAGGTCTTCGATAGGCTCCTGTTGTTGAGGAAAGGCGGCCAGACTGTTTACTTCGGCGATATCGGCCAAAATGCGACCACTCTCATCGACTACTTCCACACGAATGGTGCCCGAGAATGCCAACAGGCAGAGAATCCGTATGTAATTACATTCTACTCGATGAATCGTTAACCAACAGCTCCTCTAGCGCAGAATATATGCTCGATGTCATCGGAGCCGGTGCAACTGCAACTAGCGCACAGGACTGGTACTCGCTCTGGAAGACATCGCCAGAGGCCAAGGCCCTCCAAGAGGAGCTCTACTCCATCCACGTTGAAGGTCGCAACCGCCCCGCTGTCGAAGCCACGTTCCACTCCGAATTCGCCACCTCTTGGGCTTATCAAACATGGGAACTGTTCAAGCGCGACGCCGAGGCCCACTGGCGTGATCCTACTTACCTCATGGCCAAACTCGTCCTCGCCGCCGTTGGAGGTCTCTTCATCGGTTTCACGTTTTTCAAATCCAAGGACAGTCAACAAGGCACGCAGAATAAACTCTTCGTACGTGATATCGCTTTATCTTTAACGCCCTTATCTTGACGATTATTTGCCTAGGCTATCTTCATGGCTACTATCATATGGTATGTCGCCCGATATTTGTGGTTCTCTCCAAAAATACTGATTCAAATTCAGCGTTCCTCTCTCGAATCAACTGCAAGTTCCCTTCATCAACATGCGCAAGATCTACGAGATTCGTGAACGCCCAAGTCGGATGTACAGCTGGACTGCGCTTGTTACCTCGCAGATTTTGATCGAGATCCCATGGAACATCCTGGCGTCCTCCATTCTGTTCGTGACGTGGTACTGGACGATCGGCTTCCCGACGTCCAGGGCGGGATACAGCTACTTCATCATGGCGGTCGTCCTTCCTTGCTACTACACCACATTCGGCCAGGTGGGTCACCTCTTATGTCGTACGTTTTCACTCGTTGACTAATGGACCCTCGCAGGGCGTTGCTGCGATGGCGCCCAGCGCAGAGATTGCCGCCGTGCTCTACTCGTTCCTCTTCTCCTTCGTCATCACATTGTCAGTCATTTCGCGACAGTTTCATTAGCCTGTTACTAACGTAGTCCTTCCAGCAATGGTGTCCTACAGCCGTTCAGCCAACTAGGGTGGTGGCGATGGATGTATCGCTTGTCGCCGTTCACTTATCTCATCGAAGGTTTACTGGGTCAAGGTGTGTTCTCTCGTGATTCGCCTTATTGTATGACGCGAACTAAATTTCTTTTCTCAGCTATCGGTCGCCAGCTCGTCAACTGCTCCCCTGTAGAATTCGTCCCAATCAACCCTCCCTCGGGGTTGACCTGCGGGCAGTATATGGCTCCCTACATCGCACGCGCCGGTGGTTATTTAGCCAACCCGCTCGCCACGACTGCCTGCGAATTCTGCAGCATGCGCACCACTGACCAGTTCCTCGAGCAAGCATTCAACATCCGCTACGACCACCACTGGCGTAATTTGGGTATCCTTATTGCGTTCTCTGTCTTCAACGTGAGTGATTAATTTCGTTCCAATCATGAATCCCTCGTATTGACCCCCTTGTAGACTGCTCTCGTCTTCATCTTCACGTACCTCTTCCGCATTCACAAAGGCAGCTTCCTTCCGCGCAAGAAAAATTAGAGTCAGCGCTAGGCTTTGCTCCCTTTCATCTAGACTTCGTTATGCCCCATTGGACCTGCTTTGAAACATACATACGTAGTTACCTTCACGTTTTCCAATATCCTATCTTTACCCAATCATACGCTACGTGGAATCAAATCTAACGATACGATATGCAATCCCCTTCGAGTAGCTAGTCATCTTGTACAACATGAATGAAAGTCTTCGTTTGAATGAATAAAGTTTACAAATGAATGTACAAGTCTATAGTTCGAAACTGCTCTACAAGGCAAGTCCAACAGCGGAAGACGTCGACAGTTCAGCACGGTGTTTTGGGCAGATCTTTGACCCGTTTCGAGAAGAGAAAAGATCGTGGTGATAGATAACAGCTTGAGACGGAGACGGCAGAAAAATGGCAGGAGGGTGGAGGATGCTACCCGTTACATAGTGTGGCGCGACGCAGGGTCGAACGAAAGTGGTTCTCGGTCCAGGGGGAAGGCTCTCGATGGATAAGCGAGGACCCGGAAGCGGCCCTTCAGGGTGGGGAATGGGTTTGGAGATCTTCAACCGGGCGGTGGGCTTCCTTGAAAGGGTTATGAATTTAGGAGGAATCGGAAGGGGGCGTCTCGTGCTTTCGGATCGACACGGTATTTCCATCGTGTCTGCGGTCGGAGTGCGAGTGAGAAGAAGTCGAAAACCGTCCTCAGGTGTATACGCGGGAGGTGGAGGAGATGGGAAGCGGTTTGTGGAGAATACGATTGGCATTTGCGCCTCGGATGGCTGGCTCGAGAGGGAAGACAAGGGCTTGAAAAGGCTTCGCTTCCTCGAAAGGTAATAAGACCCGCCGCTCGGTACACGGTGAACTGATTCAACCACTTCTCCTGAGCTGTCCACGTCGTAGACGAGAGGGTTGTATGTTCTCCTGGCGGTGGCTCGGGTTCCAGTTCTGAATATTCGAAGCGATCGCGTCCCCTTCTTTTCTTGGGGAGAAGAAAGGGATTCAGTGTCGGTGTCGAGTGTTTCACGGTGCGTGCAGAACAGGGGTGAAAGATAGATGCCGAGGAAGAGGACAAAGATAAAGGCGCTGGCTAGCATTGCAATGACTGAGAACTTCATGAGCTTCGATATAGAGATAGACTTTGATATTGAACTGTGCCCACCTAATGGCTTGCTCTCCGAGTGTCGAGGAAGTGGGACATGTTCACCATTGACGACAAACCCGTCGCCATCCAAGACCGGATAGGCAAACGACGGATCCTTCTCGCTCTCCATTTATGAGAGAATCTCCCAGCTGGAGTAAAGGAGTGACAGACGCTACGGCGGAAATATATGGGTCAGAGGTCGAGAAATGACAACCCGAGTCTGACTGAATTTGAATCCCGTCTAGCGTGATTTAGTCTGGTCCTAGTCTGCTATCGGCGTCCTGCGATTTCGGTCCGCGCAATAATATGACGATTTATGTTCTCACCGCTTGATTTTTCTACGCGCAACGACGGGCGTTCGAGTTATTTTGTCACGTTGATGGGCGCTTGTTTATCTCCGAGATATTACCGTGGCTGGATCCATTTGCCACATGCTAAATCTTTAAGTACTGCGATGAGGCTTTTACCACGAATTTTCAATAGTGATCAGTCGATGGAGGGAAGAAAGTTTAGTGATTATCTAGGTGTATGAAAGGCAAGATTTGAATGAGATGCACAACACATGGAAGGCACCCAAGGAAGTGCCTAACGCATCGCACCAGGCTGCCCGCTTGGATGCCTCGCCAGTGTCTGGCCGCTCCTATGTGCCTGAGTGCTGCCGAACCTCTGGAGCTCCTCGGGTGCACCTTGGCCATGCCCTTGAACCCGACCTTCCTCTCGCCTTCTTCAGGAAGTTCGTCCGGTTCGAGTTGAGGCTCTCGTGGATGGATGCCGCACGAAATTGGGTGCGCGTGATGGATGCGCCAGCCGCGGTCGCCGCGACCACCCGGCAGGTCTTTCTAAGTGGCCGAGGCGTTTGATCACCGTTGCCTTCATCGCAAACTTGATCTAATCCAGAGGGATGAAACAGATGATGTTCTACAAATGTGTGTCGCGATAAGTAGCTTCGTGTATGTAGAAGGTAAGGGAAAGATGACACAACCCAACCCAAATGATTCCAATCCAGCCACATAGGTGGCGATGATACTCGACGCCACTTGGGCTACTGCGAAGGCGCCGTTCAAGGAGAACGACGACCGCTCCATAAAGAAGAACCCATGAGAACGAGTGACGAAGATGAGGGTCGACCCTGCGAGATGATGGGCACGGCGGACAAGCAAAGCATAAAATCGTAATTCGGAATCACGTATACGAAGAACAAATTTGGATGGAGAATGTACAGCCCGGACCGAGTTTTTCTCTTTTACATTTCTTCTCCGAGTTCACCAGGACCCATCACCATCGTCATCGTCATCTTGGAAGTACTCCACGCGAATCTACTACCACCTCCCGGGCGTACGATTGGCCCTTTCATTACTACAGGAGTGGTAGTTCCGGATCTAAGATTCAGCACCAGACGGGATATCATTGCCGACGACAAGTGCTGGGAGAAGGACACCCCAGCAGCTTGTATCACGTCGGTGGGGTCTCCCTAACCATCTCAATGTTAGCTTTTAGTTTTAGGAAATATAGTCCGAAAGCGACCCACGTAGAAGGTGATGAGATTGACTAGATGTATAACGGTGATGACGAAAAAGAAAAGGATCCCGTCGCGCATGAAAGTGGTGATAACTCTGGGCAAAAATTATCAGCCACTGGGTGATATTTGTTGCCTTCTTGACTCTCAGGAAGGGAAAACATACCGACTTCTACTCGCTGACCGGAGGTAAATCCGAGTACGCCATAGGGTGAGGATAAAAATACAGACATCGAGGACCAGGTACATAATCCACAGGCACGCTAACGCGGAGATCGTTAGCAATGGTTGCTGAACCTGAAAGGTAAGCTTCACAAACGAATTTTCGTGACCGCCTCCGGCGGGATATGCATGATGCACCCTACAATTTATATTCACTTAAAAGTGCTGCACACAAATGAAATATGGTCACCTGTCAACGGCTGTGGTAGATCAAGTGCTGCAGTGTATCAGTAAATCTGTCATCAGTGGCCTCCGGAGATGAGGACTTACAGGAGCTGGCAGAGACTGTCCATGCCGCAATAGCTATCTGGCAGCTCAGGAGTAGCAGGAGGAATACGAGAATCAAAAGCGACCGGTTGTACAGAGCATACGTTCGCAATATCATGATGACTAAGACCAATATGTCAGCTAGATCCAAGGTTGAAAGTTAAACGTTAAGCGCCCACATACGTTCGGATGCTATTTGTCAGTTCGCGGCAATTTCGCATAAGGGACTTTTTGGGAAGAGGCGAAGCTACTTGCCTGCTACTAAAGCCGTCACCCCGGCTCCTTCGTATCTCGCAAACCGCGAGCATCTATTTAGGAGCGAGTCAACACCTAACTCTACGGAACGGTATCCCAAAGACTCACGCTTCACCCTTCCAGTCGGGGTTGTGCAAAGCTTATGTGAAGTATAAGACTTGAAGAGCAGCGCCATAATAGGCCTAGGGCTCACCAACGAGTACAACGATAAATTCCAGCAAATTCCCGTAGCGGTTGATCAAGTAGAGGATGCTGACCCCTGATATCTTCCGTTTCCAGATTCTCTCCAGCTTCGAAGGGTGTGAGTTAGGACCAGCTGCAGTCATGGCTTGAGGAGCACGTACCTCTTGGGGGAGTGTTAGAAATACATCATAGGCGAGGATAGTGTACGACGCTATCTGGCAGTACTTGACGATCAAGCTTCGAAAGGAGACGGTTATGAGATATTTAAAAGTAAAGATGCATATATTTCACTCACAGATTACGGGCTGCAGTTGAAACGGGGTCCATATTCTACAGCTTAGTGCTAGAGACCAGACGGATGCCATTTAATAAAGCCTGCCAGCTTCTTTTTTTGGGCTACGACGCTGAATCACAGAGACAGAATTGATTATCAGGGTTAATAATACTCATATGAGAGACAAATCGAGTCACCTTTACATAATATCTTTCGTGTGCTGTTCATCTCTGGTCCTTATGGGGGTTTCTGTTGCCAGCGTTAATGAGACGGAAGGCCGGAGATGTTCAATGCACTATTCTGAGTGGACAATAACAGTGCTTGATACTCGCATCAGCGTACCCTGTATCAAGAAGAATGGATACCTCCGCATCTTGTGGATCCCACAGAACAAAGAAGCAGCAAAGAAGCGGGCTGCTTTCAGCAAAAGGCGGGAAACCATCACGGCCATTTTTGAATGCCATAAGGAAGTCCGCAATGACCTTCAGCGCTGATCTCTCTCAACAGGGTGTTTACTGGGTACCTGATTCTGGTGTAGATGGTGGACTCGGAGGGGGCCTCCTCATCTAACAATAGTAAGAGAAGAAGAACTGTAAATAACGAGATCGCTGTATTACATTCGGCTTCAGTGTAGAATGATGTTAAAGGTCTTCAACCTTCCATACCTGGTCCTGCGTATGTAGGCGGGTGTTTTACAGCTCGACAACCTGCTTGCAATCGTCTAGACATTGAATAGATTGTAGCCCACATGTAAGCACTCAGTTCGGAAGATGCCGACTCGCATGATGAAGAAGTAATGACTCTGGCGTGTTCAAGGAGGATTTCGATACGAAATCGATTGCTCGTGATTTTCCTATGGATACAAGTTGAACGTACGCGTTACTAGTTGATGAATTCCCGAGGCAGTGCAGTAAAATGTGGGTCTCAAGGCTGAAGTCTCCACGCGTCACAGACCTATGGTCGGAATTCGTCGGAATTCGTTGTGTGTTGCACCTCGCAAGGCGGTCAAAAGCCATCGGACCGGAGCTCCCGAGCCTCCGAAACGCCCTAAGCGCTAAGGGGGCGCCAAGACCACCATAAATGGTACAGTACTTACACCTCGGGTGATTTCATTCATGCCAAATTCATGCAAGTAAAATTTAGTTACGCATGCACAGTTTTTCAGACACACACATAGCAACATCCACACGAATTCTACACACACCCACATAGTACACGCAAATTCTATACACACACGCCATTTTGACACACACATCGCAATCCAACATACATATGATCCGGCACACGAAGAGGCTGATCTAACACGTACACACCGGATTTTAAACACACACACACACACCTCACACTGTCGAGGGGCCCATGCTTTAGGACACACGGCGCTCGGCAAATTCGGCAATTAGGGCTGTTTTAAGCTCTCGGTGGTCTCGGCGAGTGAGTTGGCACCGGCGGCTACCTTGGGCGCTGACTTTATCTCACGTCTGACGGACTTTGCTGACTAGTAGCGGCCGAAGTCAAAATGATCTTGAGTCCGGTGCTCTTTGAAACTATATGACATCCCACCGAGGTGTATCCCAAACTTGAAATATTTTTCCCCCGCTTATATATACAGGATGAGAAAAAAATGATGTGATTTCTGGGACTCGTCAAGTCATTTCTAGTACAGAAGGAGCCACCAGTTTATCCAGAGGGAAAACGAAAGTGAACAAAAAATGAGAAATACGACCTCTGTGGCGTGATGCCTGATTACGAGGTTAGTTCGTGAGGACGCATTAAACTGGTACAGCCTCAATAGATTGTAAGAAAGTGCTATCGCCGCCCTCCTGACGATGCACAACGGTCATCTTCCAACCCGTGCGACGAAGGAGGTTGTCCATCTCTACAACAGTACGTTCCTGAGCGTTCAGAATTAGAAACATCTACACAAGAGTATCAGCAAGAAAGCTTGGGATCAATCCTGGTCGAGAAACTCACAGTTATATCGGCGTTGTGTCCCATGTCATTCACTGCGCCGTAATTTGCGAGCAAGGGTGCAGGTGCCTCCTTGGGGACGGCCCCTGGTACCTCGCGGCCAAGATCAGCACCAGGGTCATGGCAAGAAAATGGCATTAAAGTCTCCATAAGCACGAGTGTAGTCTTCGGAGAGGCTGCCTCTCGGAGCTGTGTCAGGATCTTAACACAAGATGGGTCAGCCCAGTCGTGCAGGATTTGCTTGAGGATAAACACGTTGGCGCCTTTGTGGGGCTGGGGTGTAAAGAAGTCGTGGGCTACAACGGTTGTCGTGAGATTCGCTCGGGCAAACTTCGAATAATAAAGGCGCCCTTACCCTCCAGAGTGGCGCGACCGGATGTCAAGGCGTTCGGAAGCTCCTCAGACCACACCTTCTTAGCGTCCTCGATAACGGGAGGAAGGTCTTGAAGTACAATATGAAGTTCAGGATACTTGCGGGAAATAGGAAGCGAGGCAGCCCCGACACCTCCACCAACATCAACGACGACAGAACCTGGAGCAAGGTTCTCCCAGTCGAAGGCTACCTCACACAATGACGGCCCTATTAGAATCACCCGTCCAACAAAGTCAGGATGAAACGCACCGTCCAAGCTCGCATTCTCAGGCTGGAGCGCCTGTACACCCTGCATGCCGATGTTGAATCGTTTATACTTACTTAGATTCTCTGGGCGCTGATAGTATTCCCATAACGTCTCTTTTCTTCCAGTATAGCGTGAGAATGGCGTGTCTGTCGGCGAGTCTGTGGTTCGCGGGTCAGAGACCGTCTCCCAGGAGTAGGCAGCGGCTTTAAAGGTTTCATCGAGGCTTACAAGCCGAAATAAGGACCACTCAAAAGTAGGAAACAATATGCCACGACGTACTGGTGGGCGGCTAAAGCAGGAAGGCCATGCGTGTTCTCGTCCTTCTTCTCGGGACTAGTAAGAATGTTCAGCTTTGGTAGAATGGCCACAAAAGTGGGTTGTCTCACTGAGCGAGAATCTCCGCGCTCGGCTTGAGCGTATCGAGCATGCTCGAAATACGTGTGTTTGCAAATACATTTGGTTTGACCTCCCGGTACACGTGGTGGTTCGAAAGGATGCGAAGGAAACGTCCTAGTTTAATCAGCTCGGCAATCAATTTGTCCATGCGGCCATCAATGTCACTGACCGATCTTTTGTGGGTCCTGGCCATTCTTCGCCCCGATGTCATTAATGTGGACGCCCTGATCAGCATGGTCAGGTTGCAGGTTTTTGCGCTGAGAGAGGAGAACAAATATTTACATTCGGTCCACCTTCGCGAAGGATCTCAGTCACACCCGACTCGAGACAAACTCGGAGAGCGGTAGATCTGAAGAACTTCGACGGCTTCAGTACCAGATATACAAGAAACATGGATCAGAAAGGGACCTACTCCGCCAACCATGTGGTACAGAGAAATCTGCGGCGGAACGAATATGGCCGCCAGCTGAAGAGCGGCAGCACCTAGGACGTTCGCTGCTTCACCAGCGACGGGGTCACTTCGGAACACCTCGCTCGCGGGGTGGAACGGGGCATTCAAGTCAGGGATCTCGAACTGCTTCTCTGCGCAAACCTTCTCGAAGGTTGTCAAAGACGTCGATAGCAGCTTTAGGAGCTGGCGAGCGGGTGTCGACATGGTAGTTGGCTGTTCAATGCTGACCTGGGGCAATGAGGTGAAGTAGACGTTGTGTTTGATACCAAATGCCAGTATACGGCTTTATACTCTCCGCGAAGACAGTGCGCCATAAAAGAGACGGCACTTTTCGGGTGATGTGAATCCACAAATGGCGGCCATCTACCAGGAGAACGTCAAGAAGGGTCCTAAAATACAGGGTCCTCCACCATCAGCGCCTACATATAATGAGTAACATGTAAATGTCCACAACTCACTGAACACTCTGATGATCAAACATGCAGTATGGAGGCCACAAGGATAGCACGATCGAATCCACGGCGAGTCGAGTTCAAGTTGGTTCCCTTCACCGTGCTCTGCAGAGAGAATTATGTTCCTTAGCTCGGGAAGCAGAAGCAGTCTAACCTTCCAGTTCTGCATGAAAGAGGTTGTTGTTCTGAGGGTTGAGATTGGTCCTATGTTTGACCGCGTAGATTCTTATGGTTAACTTTGAGGCGCTGACGGGCGCTGAGATTGATACTCGTGACCGGCAGAGAGGAAGCATAGCCCGATATATATAGGGAGTTCTGGTTCCAAAGTCAAGATTATTCCGGGAAGAGGAAGACGAAATGTGGTGAATGTAGTATTTCAAGCAAAGATCAACAGTGCTGGCGGACCTCAATGATGATTCACTCGCATCACAGAGTGACTCGGAGGTGGCAACCCTCCGTGAGATATTTTTACAGCACGTACAGCAGGGGCTATTCTTACGGTCAGCATCCTGGACAATCATAATTTGATGAACTATCTTACGCATCGTCCACAGAACACAAGAAGCGAGAGATGTTCATGGTTGAAGGTAGAACAGCATCGCGGCCATCCTTGAGTATCATGACATATCACGCCGTCAACTTCACTGATCGGCGTCAACACCACTCACATGAGTATGTACGGGGAATCCTGATGCTTGTGTAGAGAGTGATGTCATTGTCTTCAAGTACGAATAGAAACCGAACCGTGCAGAAGGTTCTGCAGTGTGCACGATCCTATGACTGAAATACCCGCGAAACGAGGCGTGCAGTAAGTTCTGATCTGGCCCACGACTCTGATTGGATTGGAGTGGGAATAAGGCCTGGCTATGTACACCTACCCAAGATCATCTCGATCTTCTACGATGCCACGAGGCACCACACGCAGGTGTAAATTGAGCCATCTTGTTCAGAGTCAATTTCCTCGATCGACAAAAACATCCGTCAGCAGAACAAAAATAAGCCTGGCACGGGGACGATCTTTTAACGTTATTACATGCGTACACAATGAGGCGGTAGTTCTCGCTGTGTCAACTGCCAGGCAATTCGAATGATGACCTGGAAGTGAATACAGACTGTGTACCATCTTCTAACCAGCGTGCAAGACGGGCGCCGGGGTTGTGTATTTGATTTCATTTGGAGATTTGGCTAAGCCGTTTTTATAACTGAGGAGGCTTTTCCTCATTGCTCAGGCTACGAGTAGATATATGAGATGTGCCAATGACAAACGGGTAATAGTTTTCGCCTGCTCGTAGGACACTGAAGGCACCATCGTGTCGTAAAAGGAAAACCGCAGCCTATTTCTCCTTCCCCTAGAATCAAAATAATCTGTCGTCGGCTAACTGGGCAGAATGGAACAGAACCACCCTTGGCAAATGATCGAGCTGAGGTGATTTTACGTGTCTATCGCGAGAATTCCTTAAATAGACGAATGTGGCGATCGATGAGCGCTTTTGCCAAGTGTAGGTCCTCCGCCAACTTCTCTCCGCGACATCATGTGGGCCTGACTGGCTTGTGGGCAGCAGGCCTTCTATGTTAAGTCAAGGTATGGTTCTTTATGTCCACGATAATGGTTCCATGAGTCTGGATCCGTAGTGTCATGGGGTGCCATTAAGATAAGATTAGAGTGCTACGGACATTACTGGAAAACGTATACTGGATCCGGACGCTCGTAAGAGGTATCCCTTGCGTTCAATTATATCTGGGTTGCGGTCTGAGATAGCTCCTTTGGGTCGATCCTGCCGTCGATGGAAAGGGATGGATGGAAGCAGCGAGATTTGCCCGACAGACGCGTTCGTAGGCGCCGGTGTGTAATCTTTTGTCCGCGGAAGATACGGCACCCCAGAAAAGTTTATACATTCCGCCAACGGATGCCCTTATCAGACAGAAACCGTGCAGTCGATAGAAATGCCCTCAATTGAGTTGCACCTCACTTACAGGAAAGAAGTCCTTCTGCTGCCTGTTGACGTCAAGGATGCAGGATGTTTTAGGCAAGAGGCTCCCAGCAGGCCTTGAACGCCGCCTGTCGAACGTGCGATTGGCGTGTTCTGCGCAGGTGTTGATGGAGTCTAGACGGGAGGTGGACGAGGAACGTGGCCTTGGAGATATCTCGGAGGTGGCCGGTCCGGGCGAACATCGGGCCTCGCACTTGCCTAATTTGGCACAGCATGACGATTTGTCGAGCATCGCGATTAGACTCTCATCTTGTCCCTTTTATTCCGCCTCCCTCTTAACCGGTTCTCCCCCCCTCCTCTTCCAACGAAATGGACTCCTTCGCAGAGCCCTACACTCGCCAGGGCGACGACATCTCTATCGCCAAGGTCCGCGAGGGCATTGCGACACTCGAGGAGCAACACCGCCGCATAGGCATACCGCTGTCGGGGCGTATCATCCACGTCTGCCACTATCTCCCAATAACCGCCACTTTTCTGTCGAAGAACGCCGCACTCGGCGTCCTCAGCCCACCAGCAACACCGCCGACAAAGCCCACCGATGTCGAGGCCCCACAGGTCATCCCATCCTCGGTGTTCTCAACAGAGCCAGCAGCAGTAGACGAGCCGCTGTCTGAGCACCAGCCAACATGGTCGCTGTCACCGCGCTACGGCCACGCAGCGATGATCTCGGGCATTCGATCCATGTCACAGACCCATGAACAGCTCATAGTCGGCTGGACAGGGGACATCATGGCCTCGCCCACAGACAAGGTGCCGGTCGACAACGTGTCGCTGAAGGAGCGAGAAGAGTTCGAAGTTGCATTGAAGAACTATCTCCCTAAGGAGAATGACCCCGATGACCAGCGCGACAGGAAGACGAAGTACGTCCCTGTGTGGTTGGAGGACAAGGTGGCCCATGGGCACTACGACGGGTACTGCAAGACCAGTGAGTATCGCATTCTCTCTAACTACGTTTTCGGCTCTTCGTTTTTGCACGAGGCATGCCAGCGAAATCGAGTCATCGCTTACTTCAGTCTGACAACTGCGATCTTTACAGCCCTCTGGCCTCTATTCCACTACCTCCTCTGGCAAGACGTTGCGACGGAATACGCCTCCGCCGACTCCCACTACCCCTACTACGAATCCGCCAATGCCGCCTTTGCGCGAAAGATCGCAGAGGTCTACCAGCCTGGCGATTTGATCTGGGTGCACGACTACCATCTCCTTCTCGTCCCAAGGTGCGCCTCGTTTCCTCTCCACCGTTACCCATACACGTATTCCATGCTCCACGTCTATGCTTATCTCGCCTTCTTACCTCACTTTCCCTTCATTCATTGCCTCCACCCACATGGATGACGCACCACTCCATTCTTGCCATCATTTTGCACCCATTTATCTTTTATCTTTCTATTCCTTACGTTCTTATCTCCTCCGTGTGCTGGGGGACCCCTTTCGAACCTTAATGCACGAACGCTGACCCTGCCAAACCAGACTCGTCCGCGAATCCATCCCAGATGCCGTCCTCGGGCTGTTCGTGCACACGCCTTTCCCGAGCAGCGAGGTCTTCAGGTGCCTACCCCGTGAGTGCTCGTTTTAGTTGTGCCATCCCTTCTCTCTTGTTCGTGCTCCATTTCTCCGTTCATGCGGAACGCCGTTGCATGCTAAGCGGGTGCACATGCCCAGTCACGCGTTTTTGGTTCTTGATCTCGTCAACTGTCTCTTTCTTTCTCCCTCTTTCGCCTTTCTTGCTTTCTTGGATGCTCCACCTCCTGCATCCCGAGAGGATAAGCCAGATTCGGCGATCTCGGACAGGCCGCTGGGTCACCTCTTGCATCTCTCTTCTCGATGCTCGTCCAGATCGGGAAGTTTAATTACCGCATTCGCGTGCTCCTTCCTTCTCTCTCCGCACCGTCGACTCGTGCACGATTCGATCGTGATCTACATGCGTGAGGAGTTGGCCAATCCGATCGGTGTGGGGTGGGCTTCGGGGCGTGCTTCGTCACTCGGCCCGGATATCCGCTGCTCACCTCTCTTGTTCTACGCCATGGCGCATGTACGGAATGCCGAACGTTCGAGTGGCCTCTTGTTCGCTTTCAGGGGCAGGAAGCGGCTGTGGCGGCACGAAGGGGCCGGAGGAGATGACGTCGGTGGTTATGATGTCGCATTGACGCGCTCTTCCATGTCGGGTTCGCTTTGACTTTTTGGGATGAACCGCCCTCGGCGAGGCACGCTGTGTGGGCTTGGTTAGCTTGTGCCTTGGTCGGAACCGCTAACGCCGCCGGGAGGCTGAACAGCCTAACTGCGGAGTACATGATATGCGCTTAGTGGATTGAGGTGCTCGGAGGTGTCGACATGAAGAACGACATAGGCTTTCGATGTTATGCGGGCCTACGACGCGTCATTCCGCTCTTGTGTTCCAGCTGCATTTGACTTTATTTATTCCATATTTTCGTCGTCTGCCATCTCTGAATTTCACTGACCTTACTTCATCGTCTAGGCCGAAAGGAAATCCTCGATGGAATGCTCGGCGCGAACCTCGTCTGCTTCCAAGTATGCTCCTCATTTTTCCCCCTTCTTCTGTACCTAGATTTATCCTTGCTCCAGACCTACTCCTACTCCCGTCACTTCATCTCAACATGTATCCGTGTATGCGGTTACGAAACCACAACCCGAGGAATCGACGTAGAAGGTCATGTTACAGCCGTCATGCACTGCCCTGTGGGTATCGATGCCGAGCGGGTGGCGAGAGATATGTACGTCCGAGTTCCCGTGGTGGCGGCATATGATTAACTTCTTTGCATTTGATAGCACTCGACCTGGTATCAAGCCCAAACTCGACGCTCTCCGTAATTTGTACGAGGGAAAAAAGATCATTGTCGGTCGCGATAAGCTCGATGTCGTAAAAGGTGTCCTTCAGAAAGTCCGTCGTATCCTCTTATAATCATCGGGGAAACGCTAACAGAGCGCCCGTAGCTTCGCGCATTCGAGAAGCTCCTGCAGGATTACCCTCAGTGGATCGGCAATGTCGTCATGATACAGGTGACGAGCCCTGCGCTGACCGACTCGCCCAAGCTCGAGCGGATGGTCAGCGAGCTTGTCGCGCACATCAACGGAGAGTACGGAAGCTTGGACTTCATCCCTGTGCATCACTAGTTCGTCCTTTTCTCTATCTTTACGCGCGTTGGGAAGCCTGACAAATCGTATGTATTTATTTAGCCACCAAACGCTCAAGAAAGACGAGTTCTACGCCCTCTTGAGCGTCGCTGACCTCGCTGTCATCACTCCTCTGAGAGATGGCATGAACACGACCAGCATGGAGTTCGTCATTGCTCAAGACTCTACAGGCAAGAGCCCGAGCGTGCTCAGCGAATTTATGGGTATCAGCAAGAACATGGAGGATGCGCTACTCGTTAACCCTTGGAACCTTGGGGTAAGTCTTCTCGCCCTCGCCGATCATATTAGCGTCCCAACTCATTCATACGTTTTTCTCCCAGGACGTCGCTGCTGCCATCAACAAGGGTCTGATCATGGCTCCTGAGGAGAAGGCTGCTCGCCACGCAAAGCTCTACAAAACCGTCACCACCCACACATCGCACACCTGGGCCGCCGTCCTCGTCAAGATGCTCCTCGGTCAACTCGGTCTGTCCGGCATGGCCCGTCAAACGCCCTACATCCCGAAAGACCAACTCGAGGGCTTGTACGCTAAGGCGAAGAAGAGGCTGTTCTTGTTCGACTACGACGGCACACTCGCGCCTATTGTCAAGACGCCCTCGATGGCCATACCTTCCGAGGCGACATTGGAGGCGCTCGAGAAGCTCTCATTGGACCCGCGTAACGTGGTGTACATTATTTCTGGACGGGATGGCGCATTCCTGGAGCAGCATCTTGGTCAGCTGAAGAATGTTGGATTCTCAGCGGAGCATGGTGGCTTCGTGAGAGAGCGCGGGTCGGCAGAGTGGGTCAACTTCACGAAGAGTCTGGACATGAGCTGGATGGCGGAGGTCGAGGAGATCTTCAAGTACTATACTGAGGTTCGTCTCTACTTTTTTCCTTGAGGGAAGATCGATGCTGATTAGTATTGCAGCGAACGACGGGCAGCCACATTGAGGTGAAGAAGAGCTCGATTACATGGCATTATCGAGGAAGCGATCCAGAGTGGGGCCAGTTCCAGTGCAGACAATGCCAGGACTTGCTCGAGAACAACTTGGCGCATAAGCGTCCAATCGAAGGTTAGTAATTCCTTTCTGAAGTACGTGAAAGGAAGCTAATCTTCTTGAGTACAGTTCTCGTTGGAAAAAAGAACCTCGAAGTCCGACCAGTGGCCGTCAACAAGGGCGAAATCGTCAAGCGCATACTCTACATGAACCCCGACGCCGAGTTCATTTTCTGCGCCGGCGACGACAAGACCGACGAAGACATGTTCCGCGCGCTACTGCTCTTCCCACCTGACGTTGAGCGCGTCACGATGGAGGCGCCAGTTGCCGTCACCCTCATCGACGATGCCAACGCGAAGCCCGTCGAGCTCGCCATCCGCCCAGAGGCCGTGTTCACCACCGCCGTTGGTCATAGCAGCAAGAGGACGCTGGCGAGCTGGCACGTCACGACCCCGCAGGAGATCGTCGAGCATATGCTAGAGCTGGTGAAGGACGTTCCGTACGCGCCATCGCCTAGGAACCCCGGCACGCCGCGTACGGCTGAACCACCCCAGGAAGAGGAGGTCAAGGAGAAAGCTAACCTTTGATTCTTGGACTCCTTAAAATACACGACTTCGTGTTGGGGTAGGAACCCGCGCATACATTGATGATAACAACCCTCGTTATGACATCCATATCTGATAATTTTCCTGACCGTATAGACCACATTCTTGACTGGATGAGCATCGCCCGCATGTAAAATAAACTACATATTCCATCTTCTTTACATACATAAAAATGGACTTCTTTTCGTTGTATGGCCCGCCTCTGGTATCATCTCCACTCGAACAGCTACTCCTTCTCCATTGAATGCCACAAGTAATCCACGACCTTTAATCCGTCATGTCTGCAGTAGGCTAGGCGCCCAGAGACCGGATTGAAAGAATATTGAAGTATTGTCTGCTCGGAGTGCATCAGCTCGACCTTCGCTGGATTGGCGAATGATTTAGGATTGAGTGTAAGTGGTGGGTTATGTCCTGAGGCATTTTCACCTTCGGGAACAACGAATGCGACGATCGAAGTGGCTAGGTAGCACGCGACGGTAAGACCATCGCAGAGCCTATGCGAGCTCCAAAAGGTCTGGACTGGATGTTCGCACTTGTCTAGCTCTTGCGTCGAGGCAATGCAACAGGGCCAAGGCGCCAGCCTATGACGGGGACCGCCGTCAAGGGTGGTTGGGTCAATGCGAAATCGGGCTGTGAAGTTGACACAAGTGACTATCGAGCTCATGTAGCGTTGTACGACGTCGAACGTGTACATATCCGGGACATCAAAGTACCATGAATCGAGGGATATCAGGTGGTCGGAGTCTTGGGCTGTAACGAGATCAAATGCACAATGCGGGCTAAGAGTCGTTTGCTCTGCTTCTATTTCGAGGTGTTCATTTGGACGAAGCGGTGAAAAATGCGGCTTTCGATAGGCGTCAACCCTATCTAAGCCACGTAGGAAGACGTAATTTTCGTCAATGAGGATCTGCGGAGAGGTATCTGTTAGATTTCGAACTTTTCGGGTGAGATGAGAAGGGGTAGTACATTGGTATAGCGCCATTGCCACCCGATGTCGAGCTTGCTATACGTGTCGTTAACGAAGTTCCAAAGGGTAAGGTCACCCTGGTGCTCAGAAAATGCCAGGATATCGCCTAGAATGGTGGAGTGCCTCCCGAAGAACAAAGTAGTCACTTTCTCGGCGATGGGTGTAATTTGAAACGGCGATCTCGCCGCATCGTATTCATAAATAACAAGGCTGAATTAACAGGAGTTAACCGTCTATCAGGAGTCAAATAGCGAAGAGGTAGCAATCTGTACACACTGTGTGATGCGTCCTGGGAGCTCTCGACTACTTGCAGCTATTCGGAAGGCGCTGTAGTCGCCCGAGCTGTGCGATGCGCACACGCCGATGAGCAGTTGGAATTTGATATCCCTGGGCGCAGAGAGCGAAATAGGGAGATAGAGGCGGCATGCTTTATGATACGATTGCTCAAGGTCCCAGATCTGGACATTTGCGTCAGTTAACGCTACCAGATAGAGACCGCCTGGGACGATGAAGATGTCTCTGAAACTTGAAGTCAATTGTATTTGAGGTATATCCAGGATATGACGAGGCCGGAGCTTTGTTTCCTCGCCTTCATATCCCGCCGTCAGAAGGGACAACATCCGAGTTGCTGAGGTGGTGGCATGGCGTAGCTCGAGCAGCGTCATTTCATCGATACGGAAGGAGGGCATAACGACGCGATTCTCCCAGCACTTTCGCCGCAGCGCTCGGATCCAGATTTCTCGCTGGCAGGAAGACCACTGTAACGATCTACAGGTCTAGGTCACGATGATATGGGGAAACTCGGGCAGTCAGCACACGAGTGCGTGTTCCTTGCTAGGTGAATGTTGTTACCTGCTCGAGCGCAAGCAGATCGAATGGACTGAGGTAGGAAAAGATCGACGTATGAAGTTCGAATGGGAGGCCATGAAGAGCTGGAAATGTTGGTTGACGATACACGGTACTAGAGCTCATCGTGGTTCGTTATCAAGTGGGAGTTCTATCAGATCTACCCTCGTGACTTTCTAATTAGCCGCCCATGGATTCCCAGCGCCTGATAAGATCCGTGTAGAGTATGTAAACCTACGTTATGCAGTAGTCTAATTGACAATGTTATTTCGAATGCGATCACGCAAGTATTCCCGTATCACCAACAATATCTGCTTGAGCTTAAGGTATCTCTTGAACACCCATTCTTTGATAATCCGAGGGAGTTCTGCGGCCGTGGGTGATTGCTCGGTGGCGGATTTTCGCTGTTCGTGTCTTTGTGCATTTTCAAGTGCCTTGAGCAAATCAACAACACATATGGTCCGAAGGTCAGGTTCTGACGCGTCGACGTAAACGAGTCGACCAGAGGTTGGGTCAAATGACCAGCGCTCATCTTGAACCTGAGAAGAGAGCAAGACCGCTTTTGCCGAATGCTGGTCTCTTGGGGTTTGCAGGTCTGAGGAGACAAGATGTCTTGGGGCTACGAGGGCTTGGGCCTCAGAATCTTCATTATTATAACCTGTAACAGTGAATCCATTGCATAGTCGGTGCTCTTTCAGAGTGTTCACGGGCGCATCGCGTAAGCCAAGCGGTCCGATGGATATGCTATCTCCAGATAGAGTGGGCTTGCCACTAGCTTGGGACCGTTGAAGTCGATGTCTTGTCAGCTTGTTGTTCGAAATGGTGTCCGTGAATAGGTCTTCTGGATTGCTGTTATACCAATCATGAAGGCGGACGGGATAAAAGCGATCATTGGACCCTGCTCCTTGTCCGGATGTTATATATGTGGAGTTCGGAGGGAGCATTGATTCACTCGTGAAGGGGGGAGGCCCGTCAGCTCGTGCAGGACAAGTTTGAAGCTGAGGAAGTTCCCAGATGTTAAGGAGCTTGGCTCCGGAGATGGTGAGATAGTCGTCATCCAGGAAAATCTGCGGGGAAATGAACTCGATGTTGGGATGCCGGCGAAGGCGGAGTGGCAAATGAAGCACACCTTGTCAAAGCTATCATCTGGGCTAATCGGCCAGCTGGCATACAGCCCGTGAAGGTAATCCCAAACCACGAGGCTTTCGTCCGTTAAGACAGCACAAAGGTTCCCTCGCAGGCTGGCTGAGGTTATGATGCCTCTGGTGCGCAGTTCCGCAATCAACGGAATGTCGCACATTCCTGGACGGTACTCGTAGACATTAATCCTAATGAAAATGGACTCACTCAGTGATAGAAATGAAGGCTGGAATGAAGCTAACCTCGTGTCATAGAAGGCGGCTTTATCTCCTGTGGCAATTCGGAGTCCTAAGGGAGAGGTGCCACCAACCCGAAAAACGGAGAGTATGTCCCTAGCGTCCTGTCTACAGACCCCAGACGCGATGAAACGATTCACCGAGATCCTGCTCATGTTCAGCTCCCAAATATCCAGGCGACCATCCTGCAGTATCGCCAAGTAGCAGCCGCCCGGGATAAGGAACAGATCATGAACGGGTTCTGAAGTGACAAAGCGGTGAGTAAATAATTTGCTGGGATCTTTTTTGAGAAGTGGGTAGTCTAGAATGAGAGATAACATTCTGGAAGGTGCAGTTGCGGCATACTTTAGTGCGCCAGCGGTACACTCTTCAATCGCATTCGGAGGGATAAACATATCGTTTATCGCCATCACGTCTTTGAAAGCGGTCAGCCAGGTGATACGCTCAGAAGAGAGGCGGTAGAGTGGCTTGCAGGTCTTTTCATCGATAGGAAGTGAGCAAAGAAAATTATCGTCAAAGCCGGCGCCAATCTCACCTTCCCGAGATTGGCGAGGTCAAGGGGATCCGAACACTGGAAAATAAGTCTGAGCAAGTCTTCCGGGAGGTCGCAGAATCGTCTGTTCTTGGTGATACATCTTCTCGATGAAGTGAACTTCATAGGCTCCTGTATAGATATTAGTCGTGTGGGCGTCACAGTGCTGTGGTGTGGAAGGACTGGCGCCAAGAGAGAAAACGGAGAGACCGCCTCTATTTATGGATGCTAGCTTGTATCCTCCGAAGGGAGAAGCCAAACAAAGTGTCGCGTCCAACCTTGTTTGGACGGTCGCGCCTTACCCTTCTCATCGTCGTTGTTGTCTAAGCCTTCCATCGCGCATAGCCTCTGCATATAGGAGCGGCAATTCAGGATGCCTCTTGTACGGATAGAGGTGTGCGACTTCAAGTCGTATCGGTAGGCTTCTGTACTTGACTCCGTTTTCTCTCCCGCTCTGATGGGGCTACAGGGGACACCAAACCATAGGCCCGTTTATGAACTTTACATCCGTCATTGGGCCCAATGGAGCCGGAAAATCTAACCTGATGGACGCGATATCGTTCGTGTTGGGAGTGAAAAGCGCGCAGCTACGAAGTTCTCAGTTGAAGGACCTGGTCTATCGCGGCAGGCGACTGGCGAAGAACAACCCTGACGGAGGCTCTGTGCCACCAGAAGGCGATGACGACGAGGAAGAAGGCGAGGGTGAAGGCACCGCTAAGAAGGCATGGGTCATGGCTGTGTTTGTTGATGCTGAGAAGAAGGAATGGCGATTTCAAAGGACGTGAGTGCCATAACCACCAGATCGACGCGTTTTCTCTGACTGAGATGCCAGGATCTCCGTCGCGGGTGCCTCAGAATACAAGCTAAACGATAAAGTGGTCACTTACTCTGCGTACAATGCAGCCCTTATGTCCCACAACATCCTCGTCAAGGCGAAGAACTTCCTCGTCTTCCAGGGTGACGTTGAAGCTGTTGCATCGCAGTCACCCCGCGAACTCTCTCGCCTTATCGAACAGATTAGTGGATCTCTCGAACTCGCTGCAGAATACGAGAAAGCAAAGGAGGAACAAGAACGTGCCACGGACAATGCCACCTTCAACTTTACCAAGCGACGAGGGATCTATGGCGAGATCAAGCAGTACAAGGAGCAAAAGGACGAGGCTGAGAAGTTTGAGGCCCTCTGTCAGGAGAAGGTGTGCTTACGTTCCCTTCCTCTCCATGGAGTATTTTCGTTAACCCGACGTCACAGGATCAACTCATTCTAGACCGCATCTTGACCAAACTTTATCATATTGACATGGGCATCGAAGACAACACAAGGACTATTGTCAAGAAAAACAAGGAGCTGACTGGGTACCGTCAAGAACAGAAGGCCCATGACAAGGAACTGGAGACTGCTCGGGCTGATCAAGCGAAGGCGAGAACGGCTGTCATGCAGAAGGAGAAAAACATCAAGAAGGCGGAGAAGGCTTTAGAAGGAAAGGTGCGTAGCGGACAAATTTACCTGGTTTCCTCTATTGATGATCATATGGGGATTCTAGAGACCGGAATTGGTCGCCACCGACGCTCAAATCACGCATGCGACGCGTAAAATGAACAATGCCTCGAAGACCAAGGAGGACGTGGCAAAGACTGAATCACAGTTACAAGCCAAAGTGACGGCACTGCAACAGGAGCTAGCCAGCGTACGGAAGGCGGCGGAACGTGCACAAGGTGGGAGGGTTCCGGCCCGCTCTCTTCTCACCTACTAACAACACGCACTGCTTAGAGGAGCAGCGGAAGGCATCTCAGCACAACATCGCACTCAGCGAAGAGAGTCTGGAGGAATACCGAAACCTGTAAACATTTTTTCTCGCCTTTGGTGTCTGATGTCTGACTTGCCTTCAGGAAAGCGTCGTCAAGTGTTCTCGCGGTGGATGAGCGACAGCAGCTGGAAATTCTTACTCGAGAAGAGAGAATCGCTAGTCGGTCGCTGGCACAACTAACGGAAAAGGAGCAAGGGTTTGAGGAGAAGAAGACGACACGGGCTGAGGAGCTTAGGGTCCAGAATGAGAAGAAGGATGAGGTAAGTCATGAAATATTCAACGTGCCCCCTTTCTTGACCAAATCCTGCGTTAGCTGGAAGAGAAAATTGCCACTCTCCAGGCCGAACTCGCAAACGTTCGCCAGGAGCTTGATAACCAGCAAGCTGAGAGAGCTAGGATCAGGTAGGTTTCACGTCAAGAATTCATACTACGAGACGCATTTGTTCACTCTTTACGCCCTTAGTAAGCTGCAGATGGAGGCGGACGAGAAGCTCCAGACTGTGTATCAGCAATTGTTGCAAGCCGGTGTCGACAGGCAAGAATCAGAAAAGGAGGCAAGGATGAAGGAAACTCTCGGCGAACTTGCAACGCATCTTCCCTGGTAAGTTATTCCTTTAAACATCTCTTCTTCCCCACATATCGACCCACGACCTACAGGTGTTCGTGGTCGCATCGTCGACCTCTGCAAGCCAAGTGCACGAAAGTATGAGACGGCTGTCTCCGTAGTCCTGGGTCGCAATATCGATGCCATCGTAGTCGACGAAGAGAAGACAGCCATCGATTGCATCGAATATATGCGCAACCAACGTGCCGGGCAAGCCACCTTTATCCCTTTGGACACCATCCAAGTCAAGCCCATCAACGACAAGTTCCGTGCTTTTGGCAAAGGCGTACGGCTGGCTGTCGACGTTGTCCAGCACGAGCCTGCAATCGAGCGAGCTATTCATCATGCGTGTGGGAATGCATTGGTGTGCGACAATATGGAGGTGGCAAGATATGTGTGCTATGAGAAGGGACAGGAGGTCAAGGCTGTTACGCTGGAAGGTACTGTCATTCACAAGAGCGGCTTGATTACTGGTGGTCGGAGTACACACGCCAACAGCAAGAAGTGGGATGAAAAGGATGTCCAAGGTGAGTTTCATTCCTACTTCACCGGTCCTGCTCTGATAATCTCGCCTGATACTAGGTCTCATTCGTGCTCGGGACAGCTTGTTGGCCGAACAACGCGAACTCAGCAAGCAGAAGCCGCGCGGGAAGACAGACGAAGCCCTCGTCTCCGATATCTCGAGGTTGGAGTCGACCATCACGGTGGCTAAAGACGATCTGGTATGTGATTACTTCCATACCGAAGTTCCAACTATTCTAATTTGGTCCATATATCAGCGAGCATGCAAACTACGAATCACTGGAATTAAAGACGAGCTGAAGCACATCGATAGGGAGCTGAAGACCGTTTCGCCTGAACTCAAGAAGGTGACTCTTGTATCGGAGATACCCTGGAACGAGTGCTCACGTTGTCTATATGAAGGCACGGAAAGCGCACGGAAATCTGCAGTCGAGAATAGCAGAACTGTCCATAACTGTCAACGCTGCAGAGGACGGCATCTTCGTGTCGTTCTGCCGGAAGATCGGCGTGTCGAACATCCGAGAGTACGAGGAGAGACAGCTTAAAGTTGCCCAAGAAGAAAGTCAAGCCCGTCTTCGATTTGATACGCAGATCGCTCGTCTGACCAACCAGTGCGTGCTTACCCTTGCCTCAATAATATACCTAACAGCTTCTGTAGGTCAGATTTCGAGACAGAAGGTCTTACCCAAGCCCAAAGTCGCTTAACACAGCTCGATGGCATAATCAACGCGGAGAAAGCCAACCTCGCCAAGTTGCAACAACAAAAGGCTGCCGCTGAGCAAGACATCGCCTCATCCGAGGCAGCCATTGAGAACCTGAAGGAGGAGCTTGGAGCGCTGCAAGAGACGCTTGAAGAGAAGACCAAGGTCGTCGAGCAGGTCAAGAAGACTGCGGGTAAGGCTTCGAAGGTCCTTGATCAGGCTTTGAAGGAGATTGCTATTTGTGTAAGTGGCGACTCATCGTCTCAGTTGAAAGTGAGCTCAAGGGCTGTCGGGTGGTAGAACGACGAGATTGAGAAGCTGGCACATGAACGATCGGCCCTGTATCGCAAATGTCGTTTGGACGAGGTCAGGCTTCCTCTGCTCGAGGGTAATCTAAAGAACGTACCGATGGAGGAGGTATATTCCTTACTAATTTTATGTTCTATAGCGGCAGTGCTAACCCTTGCGGTGTAGAACCTCCGAGAAGAGATGGCCATGGACGTCGACGATGACGAGAATGGTACCCAACGACCGAAGGCTGTCGCAGACTACGGCATCCAAGTCGACTTTGCCTCCATCGACGAGGATAACGCACAGAACCTCGTTGAGGCTCTCGCCCAGCTCGACAAGGAGATCACGGATAAGACTGCTGAGATCGAAAGGATGGCGCCGAACATGAAGGCTATGGAACGGTTCGTCCTTTCCCTACCCCTTCCGCCTTCAATCCGAGTCCTAATTTTCTTTCTGTTCACCGCAGACTGGACGACGTCGAGACCAAGCTCGCCGACACCGAGCGCGAAGCCGAGAAAGCGCGCAAAGACTCCAAGACCGCACGGGACCACTTCCACGATGTCAAGAAGCGGCGCTGCGACCTCTTCCAGCAGGCGTACAACCACATCTCGGACCGGATCGACCAGGTGTACAAGGAGCTCACCAAGGGCAAGGCTGCGCCCATGGGCGGCGTCGCGTACCTGAGCTTGGAGGACAGCGAGGAGCCGTACAACGGGGGCATCAAGTACCATGCGATGCCGCCCATGAAAAGGTTCCGCGACATGGAGCAGCTTAGTGGGGGCGAGAAGACTGTCGCTGCCTTAGCGTTGTTGTTTGCGATCCACAGCTATCAGCCTGCGCCGTTCTTCGTGCTGGATGAGGTTGACGCGGCGCTGGACAACACGAATGTGGCCAAGGTTGCGAATTATATCCGCGCACACGCGTCGGACACGTTCCAGTTCATCGTGATTAGCTTGAAGGGGTCGTTGTATGAGAAGGGCAACTCGCTGGTTGGGATTTATCGTGATCAGGAGGTGAATAGCTCGAGGACATTGACGTTAGATGTAAGTTTTTTTCCTTTTCTTCATCTGATGAACGTTTGGCTGATTGCTTTTTTTGCAGCTTACTCAATACGACGATTAGACTGTTCTGATGTTCCTCTATCTTATTCTCTCCGCTTTCTCGTTCTCGTTTGCTGTTGCTTTCATTCCAATTTCTGCTGTTGTATTTGTAGCCCATGTACTCACGAGCGTAGAGCGTAACGTTTAACGGTTATACCATCATATTATTTGCTTTGTTCCCAACTTCCCATTCATTATGAGAGAAATTCCGAATATCAGTACCATTTTGTACCATTTTTGCTGGTAGAGGTAGAGAGAATAATAGAGACTAAGTATTTAGTGAGTGTGAACTGCGAGAGTAAAGCGAGAACGTGAAAAAGCAAAATCGAAATGCGGAGAAGAGAAAAATTACTACAGATGAATGGGCGATGGACATTGGAGGGACGAAGCAGTTGAGAGGGAAGAAGAAGCAGAAAGAGAAATGAAATGGATATATTTACACAACAAGAACCCATTGTAATAATAAGTGACGGTCGTCTAAATGGAATATGAATATGTATGCAGCGGTTGGTTGGTCGTTGAAAGCGGACTTGTGGATGGAAGAAAAGGAAAAGGCGAGAGAGGAGAGAGAAGAAAGGAGAAAAGGACAAAGGAGAAAAGGAGAAAAAGAGGAGAGTGAGAAAGAGAGATGGGATAGAAACAATAATAGAGAGAATAAAGCTTAGGAGATGTAGCGAGTGGATGGTGGGGTAGGCTAGGCTGAACACTGAGATATCTGGTTTGGATGACCTGAACAGACAAAATAGTGAAGGTGAAACGGAAACGCGAATGCGACTACTTCAACTGAGAATACGAAAAAGAAAACGAGAAAGAGTCCCAAAAACCGAGTCAAGCAAAGCTCGGACTAGAAAGGCTGCGGATGCGGATGTGCCTTGGGTGGCGACGTGGGCGGCGACGAGGACAAGTTCTTCGCAACGTCGTCCGCGCTCAGGTTCTTCCCGAACGTGACTTTGTGCTCCTCCATCAGCTGCAGCGGGAGCGGGATCGGCGGGGGCGGTGGCATCGCCAGGGGCATCGTCAGCGTCACTTCTTCCTCCACCTCTCCTCGCTGACCACCTCCCCCTTCCTCTCCACCCCTCTCTCTCTGCCCACCGAAGTACGAACTCAAGATCTCCGCCCGGTGGTCCTTGGGCGGCGCGGGGAAGTCGGACAGCCCCGACATGCGAGATAAGGTCGAGGTGGTCATGTAGCTGCTGCGCGTGGCGTCGGTAGGTGGGTGGAGTGCGGAGAGGATGCGGGAGGAGTGCTGGGAACTGGAGTTGGGGTGGGGTGAGAGGGGCGAGTGTGGTGAGAGGGGTGAGTGCGGGGAGTGTGGGGATAGAGGTGAGTGAGGGCGGAGACTAGTGTTGGGGTTGGGATAGGCTTGTGGGTCGAGCCGGTCGAGGGACTGCTGGGAACCTGATGGGTGCGAAGGAGAGGGTAATTGTGGATGAGTAGGCGAACGGAGGTTGGAATGAGATTGCGATTGGGAGAAGGAGGTCTCGGCGTTGAACGAGTTGCGGTGCTGTGAGGCGACGGCGGGTGGTGTGGACGTAGATTCGACCATACCCAGTCGGAAGACAGCTGGCGGAAAAAGACATAACATATGAGCAAAACAGTTTGAACTATTGAAAATTTGTGTATACTTACCAGTAGGATCCTCATCATCCGGGTCATCGCCCACATTCTCGATCATCGAGGACGCCCGCGAGGACTGTACGTCCTCCGGCAGCTGTCCGCTGGGCTGGAACGCATGGATCGGGTCGCCCAAACTTCCCCTAGGCGACTCGGCATGCACCATCTCCTCAAACACGAACTGCAAACTCCCCTCCGTGGGCCTGCGTCCGCCCAGACTCGGGCGCTGCGCCAAGGACGAGCTCAAGCTCGTGCTCTGCGACCGCGAATGCGAGTACACACTCCCATCTACGTCCACCTCCGAGCCGAAGTCCGCCCTGTCTCTATCCCTCTCTCTTTCCAGCGCCATCGCCTCAAACTCCTCACTGAGCTGCCTCGCCAAACTCGTCAGCCCACTCCCCGTCCGCCTCGCCCTCAGGCTCAACGCCGCATCCCACGGCAGCGAGCCGACGTTAACATTCGGCGGAGACGGTGTCTCCGGCAGGGCCGCCTCGCTGGGGGTCCGGTGCGCATCGCTCCCTCCCCCTCCTCCTTCCCCTCCCATGCCCATGCCCATGCCGGGCCGGTAGAACAGGTCCTGGAACGCCTCGAGGTCGTTCGGGCTCCCGAGGATGCGGGGCGAGCGCTGTGGGGACGAGCTGCTTGACGTCTGCGCGGGCGAGTGCCGGTCGTGGTCGTGATGCGCCTGCAGGAGGTTGAGGTTGGGGTTGTAGCTGGTGCTGGCGCTGGCGCTGGGCAGGTCGTGCGAGAGCGAGCGCGAGCGGCGGTGGATGTGCGGGTACGGGTACGGGTACGGATGGGGCGGTTCGTCCGCGCTCGAACGGAGGAGGTACGCGGACGGCAGCTGGGGCGGCAGGGCGCTCGAGCTCGGCATCGCCACCGGCACCTCGAGGTTCGAGGACGAGAGCGTCTGCACCATCGAGGCGTCCGCGTCGGACTTGGGTCTGTACAGGTTGAGGTTGGCGAGGCCGTCGAGGTACGGCGGGCTTGGTGCGGTGACGAACTTCCAGCTGCCGGCCGGGCCGAAATCTTCCATGTCGACGGCGTCGTCGTCTGTGGCGCTCGACGCAGAGGCGGCGATGGACCCGTGCGAGTGCTCGTAGCCCTCGCGCTCGTCTTCTCGTAAATCGTTCTCGACATCGACGTCCCTATCCCTATTCCTCCTCGACATCAGGACCGCATGATCTTCATTCGTACCAAGCCCACTGTCCGGGCTCGCTCGATACCTTCCAGCAGCGCCAACCGCGACAGCACTGACCAGCGCCTCGCCCACACCCAGCGTATCCTGCCCATGTCCGTGGCCATGAGAGCTGCCACCAACCCGCTCCTCACTCGGCGACAAAACACCTTCCTTCACGGACATATACGGCGAGTACTGCAGGTCGCCCTCCAAGACCTCCCGGACCACCCCAGGCGAGAGCTGCGCCCACATCTTCGCTGCGTGCGGCGTCGACGGGTCAGAGCGGTACTGCCCCACCAGCCCGTTCGCATCGAGGTAGCTGTCTCTCTGTGCCCCGATCGCACTCCACCACCGCTGTTACCGTGTGCGTTCGCTGCGAGGAGGGCGGCACCAGGCGAGAGTGACGGGCCAGAATGTGTAGCTTGCTGAGCATAGGGATGCGGCACCTGTACAGGAGCGGACGCAGGTGGAGGAGCTAGGGCAGCACCGTGCAGCGGCAACGCAAGGTGCGGTGGGACCTTATGCCTCGCGATAATATCCGCGATCGGCTGGGCCTTCTCCCTCTCCCTGCGTGCAGCTGCGTCGTGTTGACCAACGAAGGATGCGGCCCCGCATAGTCCGCGTGCCGTTTCTGCATGTACGCATAATCGATGCTCGGGTTCGAGCCGTGCGACTGGCTTCTTGCGTGTCCGTGTCCGTGTCCTCCTTGGTTGTTGCTCGGCGCAGAGGACATGGAGTACCCGCCTTGAGCGTACGGGTGCGGGTGCGC